ATGAGACGATGTTCAGTAAACTTTAGTAAATAATAACGGAAACATTTATAAACATCGGTTATGGTATTGCTGTACTAACTGAGTACACAGTGATGGTTCTTAGTGATGGTACATCCATCAACTATATCCATGACTCAGTTTATTGGTGCAGAAATTTTTGATCATTTATCGTTAAAACACATTGAACATTTTATTATCAAACATTTATAAGTTTGAGGATTGCACTGCACATACTATACTCTTACTGCAATACAATGCAAATTTTACTTGTCTAAGTAGCGCACAAATAAGAAATATTAATATGACAAACACAAACAAATATTTCTAGCGGTGTGTCATTGCAAGTAACAAAATATTTAAGCTTTAATTTACATAATCTTAAATTAGTTTTTTGCTGGTACTCTATGCGAATTGCTGGTACTCTATGCAAATTGATGCAGCTATAAAGCTATGCTAACTAAACAGCATTTCAGAATTTTCTCTTTATCAATTTTAACATCATCTTTTCTTCCCGAAGACATTATTGACACACTTTTCTTTCATAAAACGCTTTTCTTTTTTCAATTTCTTATAATGTAATGCAAATTCGAACTATTTCTTGAGTAGTACATTGGTCATATTCAGCACCTAACTCCTCTATAATAATGCGTCTTTTATTGGAAAAGCTCGTTTCATCCTATAAGTTTTATTACAAATAAATGAACCCCAAATTTTGTGGTAAATATTGTACTTAAAAAATGTATATTATTAAAATATTTGCTCGTACCGACTATTAAATTGAGCTAGATTATTGTTCGCTATTCTAAACTGCCCCTTTTTTTCAAAAAACGACCCCCCTAAAAAATCTTACGTTACGGACATGAAGCTAAATATTTATATTATGCTTTTCTCATTGACTAGTTGCAGTTATAGAAACTGTCAAGAATAAAATATAAACTGAAGTCAGTGTTGAATTTTTTTTTTTTATTGCTAGTTTTTGGTTTTGCAATTTAGCCTGATTTCTTTGTTTGTTTCCCTTTCTTGGTGTGAATAATTTTCTTTTTTTTGATTATTTTATTTTATTTTTAATATTTAAAAAAACGTTATTCAAAAGGTACATTACAATATTTGTTCTATTATAAATAAATAAAAAGTTGAATAAACAAAAATGTTCCAGTGTGAACAAAAAACGCAGCTTTTTATCTTAACTTTGTTAATAGTTATTATTTGTTTTAAAAAAAGTAACTTCTTTACATCAGTTGTTTGTAATTAATTTCTTAAATTAATATACTATATTATAAAAAAAAAAATCATTACTTAAACTCGTTAAGTAATAAACTTAATCAGAGCCGTGCCTAGGCTACCCGACACCGACATTTTTTTTTAATAATGTCTAGTGGAAAATTTTTTAAGTAATCTGGGTCCTAATAACAGGGTTTTTTTTATTGAGCGTGGGGGGGGGGGCTTCAACCTACTAGCCACGGCAATTAAATTAATAAACAAACAGCAAATGCAATATTAAAATAACAAAAATGATTTTTAACTTGGTTTAAAAAATAAAATCGTTTACGCTATAACTTTTTTATTTAAGTTTTTTAACAAATGTATCGTGACGGTCATATTTGTAATTAATACCGATAAGGGTATTTAGAGCACTTTTTTGATTATTGAAAAAAATTAAAGATATATTCTAATATATAAAGTAATGGTGTATCTCTACTTTATATATTAGAAAATGGAGAATAAATTACTTCAAATTACTCAGTTTCCGTAAGAGCCTTGAGTAAAAAAACACAAGAATTTTGTAACAAAATCACTAAAAGGTATTGGTCGCATCATTCTCTCAAGACCTTAAGGTCAATGTTTGATGTTTACACATAAAATGAACTCATCAGATCTAATTATAATCTGACTTAGGTATAAAATTTTGTAGTTAAATATTTTGTTACATGAGAGGTTACTAATTTTTTAATATTAGAAATAAAAGTTGACGTAAGTGACGGAGTGACAAAATGATAACAACATATCAGATACTATAAATATCGCAAACAACGATATTTATTTGAAAATTAAGGTTAAAGATGTTAATGATCAGAATAAAAAAAATCATGATAAAGTAAATAATTTTATCTGGAAAATATAAAAATCTTTGAAAAACTAACAACCTCCCTCAAAGTTGTTATGAGGACCATTTTTCTTCTTTTTAATCTATAGTTATTTTCCATTTTAAAATTTTAGAGTATTTTTAGAGTGCTTTCCAATTTTATATTAAATTTTGATAAACTATTACTAATACTGAGCAATACTTTGGCGCTTGCCCCTTCACCACCCTCCCCGGGAAAAAACCTTTGACGCCTATGCTTTAAAGTCAAATGACATTTTAGACAGTCAACAAGCAAAAAACAATAAAAACAGCTTTGTGCAAATAAGGAGAAAATAATTTTAACCATATTATGCAAACCGAGTATACTGTATATTAGGGATAAGAGTAGACTTTTGCTTATTTTATTTATTAGTTTTAATAAGTTAATTATTTTAAGTAATGAAGATTTTTCAAACAGAGCGATACAACAAAAACTCATGAATTTGGCTTACGTCTATTGGAAAAACTTTAAAATTGTTTACCAACTTGGATAAAGCGCTACAGTGTCTGAAAATCATTAGGAATATTTCTAAAGAAGTGGCAGCGGTAGAGTATATTTTCTTTGCTGATGATTGCATCAAGGAGGATAGAGTCCTACAAGTGCCTAATAGCCATGATAGCAATTTCGGGATATTGCATAAATTACAATTTCTGGAAGGCCACAGTATTTTTTCTGAGCTTGCCGGTTTGATTTCTGTACTGCGGGTTTGAGATTAGCTAAAAACGATTCCTTTTAGATATCCTTTTTTAAAAAAAAGAATTTCCTTTAGATATATCATAAAGGAAAAAGGTAGTAAGGTAATTTTGATCAGGTTGCAGAAACCCTATCTATGTCTATTATAGAAAAGATATGTTTGCATATTAAAAGTTGTTATAGACAACCAGATTAAAAAAATTTCTAAATAAGGATAACGTCAAAATCCCTGACAATGTTTAAGCTAAAAAGCATTCTGCATAATTGATTATGTGGTATACAATTGATTTGGGTTAGGTAATTGTTTATTGACCATAGTAATAAACGTACTTCAACATGCTGATATAGTCCGTTCACATGGATCTGGAAAACCTCTGGAGCATAGTTGTTTATGATGTTGAGCCTGTCGCATACTGGTATATAACTTGATTCCTTGAAACGCTTCTCGATCAGAGTTAGGACAAAAAACAACACCTCAAAAAATGCTCTTTTGGGAGCTATTCCAATACTTGCTTTAATGCCAATGCAGAGTTCCAACTGAAAGACTTTTTGTAATGGTAAATTAGCTCTCGTCTTACCAAAAAGTTATGTTTAGCAAATTTAAATAAATTGCCTGGTACCATGTAATATCACCGCCAAAATCTGGAAATAATTATAAAAGTTTACAAACTTGCTCTGGGCATTTAAAGCAGAAGCTGTAGAAACTACAAGCGTGTTGCAAGCTTCCAACTGAGCTGGCAAGATACAAATAATATAAGGTTGAATAGATTCTGAGATTAGAGCTTTTAACCCAGTTGTAGTAAAAATGCGAGAGATTTCAGGAATTTTCTTGCATCTATATTTATAATAAAATGTTTCCGAATTTTTTTATTCTAAACAAATTGAATATTTTTATTTTTTCAACAGACGCATTGTCGAGCTCAGTTTTTGATTGATCAAAACTTGTAGATTTTGGTAACAAAACGTATAAGTGTTAAAGTAAACGTTTTACAGTGTGATTGGAATTTGCAAAGTATTATCCTGAAACTTTAGCCAGAATAGATCATTACTGTTGAAATTCTGCATGCTGTGAATGCCAAACTAACAAGAAAATACATTTCGTATTTTTTGACCATTTTTCGGATTTTACACGTAGCACCCGCTTCAATTTTACTTAGAACTTGAGCTCCAAATGTTTTAAAATTATTAGTTAATATTTTGTTTAGTACTTTCAGTTTGAAAGTACTAAGCAAAATACTAACTGATAAAGTTAAAACACTTGGAACTCAAACTCTAAGTAAAACTGAAGATTGTGTTACATGTATGCGACAAACATAAAAATAATGATAAATGTTAATTTAAAAAAAAAAATGAAATAAATTCAAAACAATGATGATCAAAATAGTTTAAAAAAATCCAAAACTTTGATTATTTGTTGCAGCTTTTGTTGTTTTTAATTTTGTTGTTGTTGTTGTTGTTGTTGTTGTAAGTGTTGTTTTTGTTGTTGCTGTTGCTGTTGTTGTTGTTGTTGTTGTTGTTGTTGTTGGTATTTTTGTTATTGTTGTTATTGTTGTTGTTGTTGTAGCTGTTGTTGTTGTCGTAAGTGCTGTTATTAAAGCTGTTGTTGTTATTGTTGTTGTTATTATTGATGATGTTGTTGTTATAACAAATTTCATCCCCAAAATTATGAATTGGCATGCCATATGTCAATTGTGTTGAAAACATAAAGTTTCGTCACTAATTCTGCCATAAATAGTGAAGTTTATCAAAAAGTGTGCCTAGGAAAACGCTTTTTGCAATTGTAAAAACCCCACGATGGTAATGCAATTTTTTGAAAGTAGGATAAAACCACAACAAACTACGAATTTCACCCAGTGCGAAATATCATGGCTTGCATCAAGAGAAAAATTAGAAAATTTTATTGTACTAAAGGAATTAAACTTTTTTCTTTATAAATATTTATTTTAATTAACTTAATAAATGTTCAATAAAAAAAATAAACTTTGTAGCTCGTTCCAATGTTTTTTAATTCAAGATATAAAATGCTTCAGTTTTACTTAACCCAACCTTTACTCTGTTTTTATTTTTATTTATATAAAATTTGGTTTCTGTCAATAATTAAGGTAAAAACAACGGGGAATGTTTTAAATTGATTTTTGCTTTTTTAAATATGATTTTTTAAGTTATTTAAAATACTATTAAAGATTTTATTTTTGTTTGGTGTTTTTCTTTCTTTAATAAAAGTTTTAATTCAAATTTATTTACAAAGTAATTATTCTCATTGTATAATTATATTACGGGTGTTTATTTTCGATAAGCGGGCAATTTTCTCCTACGAAAATTGAACTTTATTCAGGGGAGAAAGTCTGTTATTCAGGAAAACGGACTTTCTCCCCTGTAAAGTTACATTTTTTTGTATATTTTATTATAGGATAACACAGACAAAGGATTTCTTTTGAGATTCTACTTTGCTAGTGACTTGATAATTTATTTGTGTAGCATCAATAGGAGGAAGATTTTGAATAGTTCCCATTTCTTCTATCTTTAAATTTAGTTTTTCGATTTCTCTCTCCAATGCAGCTACGCGTTTATCTTTGGCTTCGTCGTCTTTAGCAAACCTATTTGAGAAAATTTTTAAAAAACTATTTAAATTGCTGGTTATAAGTCAAGTATAGTTTCTTTTAGATACTATTTTTAGTTTATTATCAAAACCATACAGGGCCGACGACACGAATTTCGAATTTAGGGAGCACAATTGTCAATTTCTGAAAAGTCCTTTATATCTTAAAATTTACAAAAAAAAGTAAAGATCTTTTAGAAAAAAAGTGGGGGCTGTGCCTCCTCTGGCCCCCCGGTGGCGTTGGCCATGTTATATTAAATAAAAAAGTTTAATAGCTTTTAAATTTTTTGCTACAAGAAATTTTTTCAAAAACTAGATTTAAAAAGAGCAATTGGAAAACGTCTTTTCCTCTACAGGACTTAATAGCGCGTTTGGTAATTTTTCGATTTTTTTTCAAATTATTTATGACATTTTACTTCATGTCTGCCCAAAATTGACTACTAAAATAAAAAACAAACAGCTTATAACCTATGGATGGCAAATAATTCTGAAAAATCATCAAAAAGAAAAAAAAACTTAATATAAATTTTCTTAAATTTAAAAATAAAAATGACAAAAATTGTACGACTTTTATAAGCAGTTTATTAAATTTAGCTTTAAACAAGCTTAAATTAAATTCTATTATCTAGCTAATTCTGATTAACTAGATATACATAAATTTAATATCAAGAAAACATTTTTTTAAAGCCTTTATTTTATTTAACAGCATCTTTATTTGAAAATAGTATATTACCTGATAAATTTTGATATAATTTGGGGCGTAGTGATAAGGAAAATATTGTCTTCTTTTAGTCCCGGTGTAGTGTGAGATTTTTACTCCCGTGTTTTTTTTACTCCCCAGTAAAATTATCGTATGAAGTTTTTACCGCGGAGTAAAAAAAAGCATATGAGATTTTTACTCTCACTATTTTATTTTTACTCTCAAGTTGTTATTAGCGGAATTGCATATCAATAAAACATGCACTCTAGATTTGCAGACATTTTTAGTTACTTAAAATACCAAATATATCCAAAAGAAGTTTTAAATAAAGGCGATAAAGCCAATTTTAGAAGACAAACTAAGCCATTTATAGTTGATAATAATGAGTTATATCATTTAAATAAAGCTGCAAAGGTATGCTATTATTTCAAAATGTTTTAATAGTTTTGCCATTTTGCAACTAGAATCTAGTCACCAAATAAACACGAATATTTACAAATAATTTATTTAATAAATAATGAAAATTAATTTAGTTTTGATTCTCATTATATTGATGGTTTACAGCTTCTTTTTTTATAGAGAAAAGTTATTTGGAGTAGAGATGAACAACAAAACATAATAAAGTTTGTTCATGAAGGAAACGATGTCTCTGTTGAGTCTAAAGCTTTATCTGGTCATACAGGTATTAATAACACAACCTATCACATTCAAAGTAGATTTTTCTGGTATGGAATGATTAAAGATATTACAACTTATGTTTCCAAAATGTTAATAATGTCAAAAGTCAAAGAACAGAAAACTTCAGTCGAAACCATTGCTGCAAAATATTTCAATTCCTAAAGGCAATATGAAGCAGGTAGGAATCAATTTAACACAGCTACCAGAAGTTAACGGTTGCAAATATCTGGTTGTATTAATCGACTACTTCAGTAAATGGGTTGAAGCAGAAGCACTTACCGATAAAACTTTTTTTTTGTATAAACAGATTTGTCGACATGGCTGTTTTGAAATTCAAATAAATGACCAAGGTCGTGAGTTTGTAAATGAAATTTCTAAAGAACTTTACTCAAAAACAAGAACAATTCAAAGAATTACAAGTGCATATCATCCTCAAGCTAATGGATTAGTAGAGAGACAAAATCAAATAATTAAACGTATATTAGTAAAAGTGCTTGATGAGGCTGCTTTGGAATGGCCATACATTATTGATAGTGTTTTGTTTTCTTTAAGAGTTAGAAAGCACAAATCTACTGGGTTTTCACCGTTTGCATTGCTTTACCAAAGGGAAGCAGTTCTTCCTATTGATATAGATTGCAATTTAATTGACTTTAATGATAGTAACGCTCTTAGCAATGATGATTTCTCTAACAAAAAAATAGTTTCAGATACCTTTCATGCAATGAATAAAATGAAGAATAAAATTTTTGACAATGCTTATAAAAATATTGAAAAATCTCAAAAAAGACAAAAACATGATTACGACAAGAGAATTGCACCAAATAATGAAATTAGCATAAATAAAAAAGTGTTACTAAGAAAAAGCAGACGTGATGATAGAAAAGGTGGTAAACTTGTAAAGCCTTGGACTGGACCATACATTGTAACTTCTATTTCTAGCACAAATAACTGCACTTTGAAAAATCTAAAGGGTCAAATTTTGAAAACAAAGTACAACTTGACAAAGTTATGTTTATATAATAAAAAAATAACTAATGATGAACAAGAAATCACATTTGATGAAATTAATACGCAAATTTCTAATGATAAGATCGGAAAATATGCAACTATTGAAATGAGAACTTCTATTTCTGAAAAATTTGGAATTGGTATTACCAAAAATATTTTTATTGCAGATATTAATCTACTTTCACGTCCGAAACAAATTCACAAAACCATAGGCGATGGTAGTTGCTTTTTTAGGGCAATATCGTATATCATTACAGGCAGTGAATGCAGTTATGAAATTATAAGAGAAAAAGTTGTTAAACATGTGTACTCATTAATAATGAAATGACTTTATATATGAATCAATCAATAATAACGTATCTAAATGAAAGTGGTATGAGTGATAACACAACTTGGGCAACTGATACAGAAATAATTGGGTGTGCCTCGTTCATGGGTATTGATATAAAAGTATATAGCAAATATGGAGAGAAGTTGAAATGGCTGACCTACCCATGTAGTTTAACACTTACACAGCTTAGTGAACATGCTATATTCCTTGACAATTCAACTGCAAGTCACTTGAATGTTGTACTGTTGTAAAATATTATCAAAAAAAAAAAATTTATAAATTATCTTCTTTTCATAATTTTTAGACATTTTTTAAATATATTTTTATTTTAAGTCTGTAAACAAATGTTTTAAAAACGTAAAAATAAGCGAATTTTCAACGGTATGTAGAAGAAGGAATAAAAATGTTTGTCTTTTTAAATTTGGTGGCAATACTTTTTCATATGCCTGACTGATTCCACATTAGTAAAGCGAAAGCAAAGAATCCAGAAATAAACCTATATAACAATATGTGTTTAATTAAAAAAAAAATCTTAACCCTATCTGATACATAGGGTGACCTACGATAAATTTTTTTTTTTTTTGCAGATGTGAATTGTTAAATAAAAAAAGTCAGAAAGAAATAAAAAGCTGCGATTTTCAGATTCTGCAGGTTAGCAAGGTAAACTTGTTGTTTAGAAAACTCCTTTTCTAACAAGTTTGCAACAAGTACCATAGCCTAATAGTAAAATAAAACAATTTTGGATATTCCCCTTCATTTTTTAATAAAACAAGTACACATTTTGATCAAACAAGTATTTGCATATTCTATGATCTTTAAGTTTAAAAAAGATTATCTGTAAAATTTATATTTTCACCGTTTATTTAAAATAATATAAGAAATTTTACTCCCACTAAAATGTAGAAAATAAACTAAGTTAAAAAAGTTTATTAAAAGCTTAACTTTTATAAAATATATTAATTAAGCACTATATTAACATAACGGTAAAAATATCTAATGAGAGTAAAAATCTCATAAAGGGAGTAAAAATTTCATAGGCATTTTTTACTCCGCGGCACAAATTTCATATAAAATTTTTTTAGGGGAGTAAAAATCTCATACTACACCGGTCTTGTAGATTTTATTTATATAACGCGGCATTGTATTTTTTTTTTTTTAATTTATGACGAAATAAATAAATTAAAAAAAAAATTAAATTTAGTCAAAGTTCACCAAGGTAAAAATGTGGTTGTTAAATTATTTTCAACTACCGTCCTATATTCCTACTCACTGTATTTTCAAAAATATTTAAAAGGGTTCTTAATAATAGAATTTATGATTGCATAAACTATAGCCAATTATGTATGCTGAAAATAAAAATTTATTCTGAAGCCTCTCCTATGTAAAAATATTGTTCGAAACAATGAACACTGAACTCGAAAGTTTTAACCAATGGTTTAAAGAAAAAAGATTATCTTATAATAAATCAGTAATAGTTTCATTGAAACAAAAATATCGTCTGTTACTAGTTTATTATTTAAACCCAGAGTTTTTTATGGTTGTAAATTGCGAAAAACGCTTCAACGACAACGAACAAGACTTCAGTCTTGTTTATTGTCATCTTTCCGACGCTAATATTTTATAAAACACACACACAAATATATTAATAAATTTATAAAGCTTATAAAACAACGCACGTCAAGCAATTAGTTATTTATAGAGATTAGAAAATCCTTCCTCAGTAATGAAATATATGAATGTAGTAGATATATTAATAGTAATGAAATATATAAACGTAGTAGATATATTAATAATAATGAAATATATGAACGTAGTAGATATATTAATAATAATGAAATATATGAACGTAGTAGATATATTAATAGTAATGAAATATATGAATGTAGTAGATATATTAATAGTAATGAAATATATGAATGTAGTAGATATATTAATAGTAATGAAATATATGAATGTAGTAGATATATTAATAGTAATGAAATATATGAATGTAGTAGATATATTAAAACTCCTTTATTAATATTTATGTATAAGTATAAAAACAACTTGCTTCCAAAAGATTTTTCTGATTTTTCACAGCGGCTTTTTCTCAAAAATGGTCTCCAATCAAATAACAACCAAAGCTGTCATTTAGGCAAAGTAAAGTCCCCAGTCAAACTAATCAATTAAGAAATAAGGCTCATCATTACGGAATCATTTGAAAAACAACAGAACAAAATATTTGAAAAACATATTCATTTTAAACTACAAATTAAATTGCATCTTTTAAATTCTTGGCATACGATGAATGTATGATATAAGAATTTATTTTTTATTAAATGATCAACAAAATATTTATTCAAAAAAAGAAAGTAAAAAAGGTTTGTACTATGTAGCCATCGATTTGCTACAAATTTATTATTATGTTGTAGCTAGCTAAAATGCAAATGATATATCATAGTATTATCGATAGCAACTAACATATGTGTAATAAAGAAGCCAATGGTATATTGTAATAACATTGATAGCTACAAGACTGCAATATCTAGGTAACGTTATGTCGTAATAAAATTATATAGTTACAAGTTCAATTGTTATAGCACAACTTGTACGTAAATCAAAACAATGGTGACCATCATTGGTTACCATGGTTATTTAAAAAATGAACCACTCCTAATTAGAAATGAAATTTCTAATTAGGAGTGGTGCCTAAATACTGTTATTCAATGTAAACAATTAAATTTCTTCCCTTCTATTTAGCAGTTTTTGCTTTGTTTCTTTGTATCGTATTTAGAAGAACTTTTATTAAAGATTATTCAAGATCTTACTTTCAAAATAATGTGATAAAAAAGTCTTACTCAGAAAATAACTTCAAAAGTTTGTGGTCATTGTAAGCAAAAATAAAATAGAACTCAAGCATTAGAGCATTAGGGAAGAGTGGAATAATGGCGAACGCAGGGTTATTTCGAACATGGGTTAAACAGCATAATAAAAAAACCTTTAGGTTTCTTGTTTTGCTATGTTTTCTCTGATTGTTGATCTTTTTTAAAAGATTCTCAAGTTTGCATAAATTTGCATAAGTTTGCATAAAAAGTTTGCATAAATGGCATCATAAAATATATGCAAAAAGTTCAATTTTTAGTCTTTAAGGTTTACAGCAATTACATTGATTTATTTTCTTTATTCTATCAGCAATGGATTTAAGTAGTTCGAATGTATTATTGTACATGCTGTTTTATGATTTATTAATAAAAAAAATAAACGAGAAATTTCCTTACAAACGAATTCAAAATTGACTTAATGTTTTTGAAAAAATTAAATTTTGTTAAGTTTTACTGCTAAAACTTTTTTTTTTCAAATTTTATTTTAGGTGCCCCAAGAAGTCCTTACGGTATCACAGAGCACCACGAAGAACATTTGAATGTTCACGCCTCTTTCCTTACCGATGTTATAAAACTTGCCCAGAGGTGGCGTTGAACCACTGATCTCTAGCTTCTGAAGCGAGCGCACTAACCACTGCGCACTAACCACTGCTCAAGCCTTACCGCACTGTTCATCCTAATAAGCATACAGAAAAGTACGCATTATCTTAAAGCTTTACATTTGAATATTTTAAATCCCATCAATAAATAAAAATTTATCCACTTGTACTAGAGGAAAAAAAAAGGAAAAGTTATCACCCTAGTATTAGCTAATCACCTTAGTATTAACTAAATAAATTTTTTCTGATTTTTTTTTTTTATATTTTTAACTTTTTTGCTCTATACAAATAGAGCAAAAAAGTACAAATAAAGCAAATATTCTTTGTTAACGTAAGTTAAAGTTATACTATTCTGAAGAGTATAACTTTAATGAATAGTATTTATTCCAAATTTATGTTTATTAAAATTAATATTGTTTATTGTTGGCATAATTTTTTACCAGTTGTTAAGCAATAGTTTCTTAGTTACTTGTTACCATAATTACCTTTGAAGTAACAAAACCACTGATAGTTTTAAAATTAATATTAAAATCAATAATTCTTATTAAATCAATAATGTTAAACTTATTAATTAGTTTGTTCTTAAACCCTAAATAACTTTTTTCTTTTAAAAAAAAGAAAAAAGAAAATTTAGAGTTTAAGATCAAAGTTTATTAATAATTAATAAAAATTAGTTATGCTAATGTTTTTAAACTATCAATTACTTTTTTTCATATTATTAATATATAATGTTAAACTAATATTTTTTTTTTACTTTTAACTTTTTTATATATGAGTAGTATTTTAGTAAAAAAAATAAAAAATTACCGAATAAGTCTAAGTTTCAAATCTCTCATTTTTCTTTCTGTGTGTTCTAGTTTTATATTTTTTTCTTTTAGTTGTGCTTTTATGTATTCTTCGTTGTCACGGCCTTCTTTTATTCGACGTGTTAAAAATTCTTTAAATTGCACATTGCAAACAAAAATAAAAAAGATAAGATAAAAAAAAAGATTAATGCAAATTCAATTCACACAAAAAAAAACTAACAGAAATTTTTTTTTACTTATAAATTAAAATGACAGATATATAAGTTATACGAAATATTATTATACAAACCTAGGCACCCCTCTAAAGTATATTCTCTGCTGGAGTACCTTTACCCGGCGAATTTCTCATATTTAGGTCCTACCTACCAATGGTACTTCAATTTTGAGTAATCAGAGCCCAATTAAAATGTAAAGATAGATGCAACGACATCTCATGCTATTGTTTCTATCTCTACGTTAGGTAATTTGTACATCTACATATTACCTTTAAATAGCTCAGTACCTGATTCAAATTGCATAGCTTCAACGTTTATAAAACTTTCTTTTTTCTGACAAACAACCATTGTATCATCGTCAATGCTTGCTAAAGATGGTTTTTTTTTTAAACTTGCACTAAATGTTTGCAGTTCATTTGCTACCATATTGTCGTTAACAAATAAATTATTTGCTACCATATTGTCGTTAACGAATAAATTATTGCTTTTTGAAGGATATACTTCCAAAAAGTCAGGTTCGATAGTTATTGAGTTTTCTTTTAATTCTTCAAGTGAATGACTTTGAATCACAAAAACGGGGTTATTTTGTATATCTGAACTACTTGTTTCTAATACAGATAAATTTGTATTGCTTTCAGTGATAAGAGGATTGTTCCTAACGTTAGAGTTTATTGGTTCTAAATTTAGATTATTTGAAATAGGAGCAACTTCACTTTTTTCAGAAATATTACTTTCAATATACTCATCATTGTTTTCCTTGTGTATTGTTTTTACATTTTTTATATCAAGTGAACTTGTTTCTTGAGTTGGTTGCTCAATACATTTATTTATAGTCTCATTAATTTCTGCGTTTAAATTAACAACTCCTACATAGTTTAAGTTTTCTGAGTTCGGAAGTGTTTCATTAGTAGTTACTTCATAAAAAAATTCCTTGTCATTTATTTTGTCTGTTAAAGAACTTATTGGTTCCTCTTGTTCGACTAAGGTAGTAACGACAGGTTTTACGTCATCCGATTGACTATGTATAGGATCGTTTATTTCGTCAGCATTTTTGTTTTTTTCGTTAACACTTTCGTTTTTTTCGTTAGCATCTTTATAATTGGTAATTTCATTAATAGGTTTTACTTCTGGATCTATGAAGAATAAAAGCAATTGAGAAAAATAATTTTAAAAGATATTGTGTTTAAAAATTTTTTAAAATTAGCAGAAAAAAGCGAAGAAGAATAAATAAGTTTAAATAGCACGATGACGATGCAATTTTCTAAACCAATTGGAAGTGCACATCAATGTTTAAGAACTTGCTATGTCTTATTTATAACCTTTAAAACACTACTTAATCCAAAGTTAGAGTAATAATAAGTAATGCAGCAATATATGCATTCGCGCAACGAGTTATATGATGTATAGGATGATGACAGTTTGACAAATTGTTAAGTCGTGTTCAGACTTATTAAAACACTGCAAACCTATTTCACTCGATTAAATTGAAAGTAAAGTAATGTTATTTACAACATAATTTATAATCATTTGGTATAAACAATATACAGTTTAAAATTTGGTTTTAAAAAAAGCCACTTTACGTATCATGCAATCGTTAAAATTGTGTGTTATGATTCAATTCTTTAAACTTCTTTTAAAAAATGAAAAATATATATATTCTTTTAATATTTTAAAGCTTGGTTATTACCAAACCGTGTAAGTGTATATGTATATACATGCTGGATGTATATAGAGATAGGTGGCTATATCCATCTAGTTGCTAAAGAATTGTTGTTATGTAATAGCTAGAAACAAAGCTAAAGTTTTTAGCTATCAATATATCGTAACAACATTGCTAGCTAAAAAGCTACAATATGTAGTCATCAATTAGCTTTAGATTTTTCATTATGTTGTAATTAGCTACATACCTACAATCTGTAGCTTTCATTATATCGGAATAATTTCATTAGCTACAAAGCTGTGATATGTAGCCATCGATTACCCAGCTAACACAAAACGTTTGTTTTAACTATTGATGTTAAATATAAAATGAGTATAATTATTGCTTTTTTGATTCTTTCTATTCTGCAGCCTTTTTTCAAAACGCCCTAATATACTTATTGCGTATTTCGAGAAAAACGCAACTAAAAAAAAAATTATTAGGAGAAACTCTTTGTAAAAAGTTTTTTGAAAGAAATAATTTTTATAAATTTTTTCTGAGCTCTTTGAAAATGTATATTTAATAACCTTTGAAGACATCTAAACTAGCTTATTTTGTAAAAAAGTCAAATTTGATTTTTTATACCGTTTGGCGTTTAGAAAAACGGCTAGTATTGTAGAATAAAATAAATATATTATTTTTAATATGAAAACCTGGTTTTATGAAAACCTGGTGCTTTTTATTTAAAAAAAGAATAAGCATCTAAAAAATCTAAGCTTGACAATTTTTTCTTAAAATAATTTTTGTGAATAGAGAATAAATTAACTATAAGTTTTAGAAAAATGCTAAAAGAAAAATACTATAAGTTTTTTACCTAACTTTACAACAGGACGACTAAAAAAGTGCGAACTTCATAACTGCGAATTTGTATAAATGCAAACTGAAATCAGCAACAAACAACAATATTCACGGGATTAAATAAACCAAATAATAATCTAATCCCGGCAATATGTACAAAATTCAACACCAAGCCCTTCTTTTCAATTTCAAATATTTAAAAAGTCATAAATTGGAAAAATGAAGTATGTTATAGGTATGTGCGCAATAATTTCAAAACATTTAAATATTACATTGTTACATGAATAATTCAAAATTAATATAAAATGGCGAAAATTTTGTATAAACCTGTTAATTTTATAAGAAGTTATGATATACATTGAAGAAGTTATGATATGGACTTATAAAAATTGTAAACGAATTTGAAGTAAAGTTAAAGCAAATTTGAAATTTTATAAAAAGTTATGATATATAATATATAGGCTTAAGAAAACAGTGAGCAAGTTTGAAGTTTCACGTTCTGCACAAGGTAGTTTCGTTATGAAGATATTTAACTTATTTTTTAAAAATAGAACGACTAAAAGAAATCTAAGTACCTCCACTACGTAAGAAAGTAGGGTATAAGAACCTGAAAATTTTTCTATAAATTTTATTTTATTGTTTTTGCATATGGATTGTCATAAACGTCATTATATTAATCACTACAATATAAAAAAAAAATTAACGCTAGTTATATTGTATAGTTTACAGCTAACCTATTTAAAGAAAACCTCTTTAAAATAACTAGACATATCTTAATATGAAGTATAACTAAATATGAAGTATAACTAAATTCATGAAATATTATAGAAGATATAAAGTATTACGTTTTTAATATTTCTGAGTTTCATTCCAGAACAACAAATTTTTTATTCTACGTTTATAACCTGTATAATTTAAATCTTAACGTTGAGCACCTTATAAAGGTATTTTAAAATAAATGTTACTTTCAAAACAATTTAGTTTCTTAAGTTTTAGTGGATAGTTGTAGTGTAGTAGTGGGAGATACCGCTCTACCCCCAAACTCTGCAAATAATCACAATTTTTAATTAATAATAAGAAAATTACCATTTTGTTGAGTCATTGCTGCGCTGCTACAGTTATCGCACTTTTTTTAAATTTGTTCACTTGTGTTTATGAAAGTGAAACTATTTTCCGGATATATTTCTGAACTTAAATTGAAAAATCTCTGTCAAGTATGCATTTTTTTTTTTAGTAATTTGTGCAACTTCAGCCAGTGTTTTAAATAAAAATATTTTAAAATTAATTCATAATAAATTATAAAGATTGATGTTCAATAAACTTATATTAAACACAGCAATGTTTGAAAATTCCTCAGTTGTTGAGTTACTTTTTGTTGTTTTTGTAAATATTTACGTAACTAATAGTAACAAATATATTGGTAACTTTTTCGAATCTTTAGTTATAATAAAAATAATAATTAATAATTAAAGGGATAAAATAAAAAATGAAGTTATTAAAGTGTTATTTTTTTTTATACATATGAAAAGTGTTGTTAGTTACTTAAACGTTTATAGCACATAATTTGATTGAAAAACTAAAGCATATAAAAGCCTATTTCTCGTAAATTTTTTTGTTAAGAGTTTATTGCAAAAACTTTTTAAAGTTTGTTGTTTTTAAACAAATTTTTTTAGAGAATGTTGTTTTTATAATTTTTTTACACATATAATTTATAAAATTATTCACAATGGGATATTGCACAGAAGTTCACTGCTTATTCTGGGAATATAAAAAGACGGCTTGAACTTTCTCGTTAATTGTATTTTTAAGGTGCTCTGCAATAAGACCGTTGAATCTTTTTGAAGTATCTTAATAAACTAGAAAAAAAATCATGTTTGATATAGAGTTTTGTTACTAACACCCTTACTAAGATTTTACAAACGTATGAGGTTTTAATAAATTTTATTGGCCGTGAGGCCGTAGCGCACTGGTTACAATGTGAGCTCTAGAGCATATTTTTGCGCCGTTGATAAGGAAGGAACCTAGTTTCTTCCTTATCAAAGGCGGTAGAGCATTTAACTTCCTAGTTAAATGTTCTACCGCAGTGCTTTGTGACAAAACCGTCCGCAGTGCTCTGTGACATAACCGTTAGGTCTTCTTGGGGCACCCAAAACAAAAATTGAAAAAAAAAAAAGTTGCTTAGGGGCTTTGAATACATTTTAATCCAGAAAAAAACTTTTTTTTTTTCTAGATTGAAAGGAAAAAATAAAAAAAAACAAAAAAAAAATTAAGTTCAACTTGTAAGTTAAAAAAATGTTTTAATTTTTTACCTTTGATATCTTTTTTAATATCTTCAATATTTTGATAAAACAATAGCATTTCATTAAAATTTTAATTTTTGTTTTTGCTTGGCAAGTATATAGCAAAAAAAAAAAACTAATTACAAAAAAGATAAAACTATTTTTGCAAACTTAGAAACATTTTGGCATGCAATAAATTGAAAAAAAAACCCTTTTGATTCTAGAAATCAAGTGTAAAATCATCATCAGTTTACTCGTTCCGCTTAGTTAAAATAAGTAGCAGCAGAAACTAAAATAAGTATTACAAATATGTTTTACGCTATTTATAACTTGAACACCATGGAAGGGTAATAAAAAAAGGAACTTGTTTTGGGGTTTCATTCGAACTACATTCCAACCCTCTAACTAGTTTAATTTTACTGACGCTTTTATTTGAACCACGTTCCAATTTTGTTTTTCATCACTTTTAAGATACAGTTTTCTTTTTCTAGTCAAAAAGATCTTTTGCGTTTCATTCGATTTTTTTTTCATTTCCTGAAGCTTATTTAGTTCATTTTGAACTGGAGTGTCTGTGAGTATTCGGGTGCACTAACGCTTATGTCCTTTAAGGGACTTTCTTGATCCAGATTTTGGAAATAGCTTAATTTTTTCTAGACTTGCTTGATGAGAGATGTTAATAAAAACAATGGATAGTTGACTTCCAGCGTCAGATATAGGCTGAATAGGCAATACACTACATGCTGAACCTGATGAAAGACTTGACGTCAATAATTGATTTAAAGCTGGGTCATAAACAATAGCAGAAACTGAATAAACCACACTTGGAAATGGGTTACCAGTAATAGATTCTGGATGTTCTGTTACATATGAAGCCAAAAACTCATTAGAAAATATGTTAGGATTAAAGGGTTCAATTCCTACTACACCAAATTGTGCAGTAATGGTAGATAAAATAAAAGCTTGTGCATAAGCATTCCTTACAACTGCAGCTGTATCATATAGGGTCATTGGTCTTTAATTAGATACAACCCAATCATCACAAGCTGCATTGTAATAACGTTTCAGTGGGCCATAAAGTGACCGATCTAATGAATGCAGCTTGTGACTACAGTGTAGTGGAAAGGAATGCATAGTTATGGTATTATTTTTAGCTAAACACACAATTGAAACATTAATCTTATGATTGTTAAGAGGTAAAAGCCCTGGATTAGCTGGTAAACATATCTTATTTTGAATAAAATGTTTCATTCATTCTAAAAACGTTGCAGCATTTATCCAACCAGATGAGTTCACAGCCCTAACACATCCATGTGGACCACCAGTTATCATACTTCCTTTAAAATGAACATCTTTTAAATTAGTGAAAAATTCTTCAACTGTATAATGGTTAAAAGCAGTTGCTCGTATCTTACTAGTAGCTTCTGGAAGCTACTAGTAGGGCACGAGCAACTGCTTCATTAAATAACTCATTTGTTACATTACGTAACATTATGTTAGGTAAGAATTAGTTATCTTTCATAAAGATAACTCATTTTAACGTAACATAAAACTAACATAAAACGCCATGTACTTACTTAAACCAAATAAAGGTATTGGAGTTGATGATGTAAGCAGTAATGTAGTAATTAAATCAATGCCTTATTTAAAAATTTCGCTTTTGTATATATTTTCGCTTTCTTTAAAGCAAGTATCCTTTTCTGAGAAACCAAAGTTGCAAGTGTAATACCTATACTAAAATCAGGAGATGAGACTAGTGTCTCCAATTACAAGCCAAACTGTCATGCTTTTCAAAGTTTTTAGAACACATTAGGTATAAAAGATTGTATTACTTTTTAGATGTAAACAATATTCTATATAGTAAGCAATTTGGGTTTAAAAAGAGTCACTCATCAGATCTGGCTATTGATCATCTTGTTCATGATATCTTTAAATCATTTGATAAAAGTAAATATACACTAGGTGCATTTATTGATCTCAGTAAGGCTTTTGACACTGTCGATCATTACATTTTATTAACAAAATTAGAAAATTATGGTTTTAAAAATATAAATATTGCGTGGTTTAAAAGCTATTTGTCAAATAGAAAACAATACATTTCTTATAATGAAGGTAAAACGACCAATATGAACATAACATGTGGAGTTCCTCAGGGATCTATATTAGGACCACTTCTATTTCTTATTTTTATTAATGACTTAAGCAAAGCTTGTACTGAACTAGATACAATTTTATTTGCAGATGACACAAATCTATTTTATGCACATAATGATATAAATATTCTATTTAAGTCGATTACAAAAAGCTATTAAATCTTAATGAATGGTTTAATGCAAACAAATTATCTTTAAATGTAACCAAAACAAAATATATATTTATCGATCGTTTTCATGACCGAGATAAAATTCCTTTAAAACTTCCAAAACTTTGTATTTGGAGATAAAATTCCTTTAAAACTTCCAAAACTTTGGTTTCTCTTTTTATGCCAATCAGGACATAAAAAGAGAAACCACTTTAAAATTTCTTGGCGTGCTTCTTGATGAAAATGTGACGTGGAGAAATCACATACAATATCTCGAAAATACAATCTCAAGGAACACAGTCTAGTTATGCAGAGCTAAGCGTTTTTTAAATCCAACTTGCTTAAAGCTTTTATATTTCTCGTTCATTCATTGCTATTTTATTTATGCAAACTTTGCTTAGTGCAGTACAAATAAAAATAAAATAAAAAAACTATTTAATAAACAAAAGCATGCAATCAGAATCATTTCCAATGCGGGCCGTACAAATTGGAAATGATTCTGATTGCATGCTTTTGTTATACACACTCCCAAGCATTATTTCTTAATTCAAATATAATGAATGTTTATCAATTAAATGTCTATCAAATTCTAATTTTTATGTTCAAAATTAACAAAACTATATCTCTTAAAATATTTTACCCATTATTCAAAATAAATCAGAATAGATGTCTAACCAGATTTTTATATAACAGTTATATTCAACACAAAAGTTATTTTGCGGCGACTAAATTTTCAATTTCTACTAGAAAACCAAAATTATGAAATAAAATATCAACTAATGAACATAAAACAATTGCTACGCTTAATGAATTTAAGAACAAAATGAAGCAAAAACTACTGATGAACGACGCAGCTATCGGCTTTTTTTGAAGTTTTAATAATTGCTACTGTTAAACTTACCCAACAATTAGAGGTTTGTCATTATCGGCTTGACGATTTTAGAAAAGGATTGCGCCGCTTGTTATTGCTTCAATTCTTCTTTTTTTTTTTTTTTTTTTTTTTTTGACTTCTTTCCTTTTTTTTAAAAAAACTATATATATAAAATTATGGTTTATAAGAATTATTCACATATTTCAAGGTATATACTGGTGTAAAAGGAAAGCTTCAGGGTTATGCGTGTTTGCTTGCATGCTTTTTAGTAATAATAAATGATTTGTGAACTTTTCCACGATTTAGAAATGCGATTAAAAAGAGCCATTGCAAATTCATAGGCAAGTTTTTGTGTTGTTTTGGTAGACAATCCATAGTGAAGTTTTAAAGCCCTTAAAAGATAGTATGATAAAGATGTTTCATTTACGTTGGTAAAGATTTGCATGGTATTGAAGTTAGATTTGCAGACTAATTAGATTTAATTGACAATTTCTTACATATCGCTTAAGTGTTCTTAAATTTATTCCCTTCTCCTTAGATAAACGATAAACAATATCACCATAAAAAACTGCATTAACAGCTGCTTGCATTTCATTTTCATTAACTTTACCTCTAGGTGATCTATCAGTTTTTCTTTTTTAATGATGCACCATGTAAAACTGTAAAAAGATGAAACACCTTTATATAATTTCGTTATATTCTTAATTTTTGGATGAACATTTACAAAGATCTTTACTTATAAGCACTTTACTAACAAACACATACATATGTGTACATATATATATATATATATATATATATATATATATATATATATATATATATATATATATATATATATATATATATATATATGTATATGTATATGTATATGTATATATATATATATATATATATATATATATATATATATATATATATATATATATATATATATATATATATATATATATATATATATATATATATATATATATATATATATATATATATATATATATATATATATATATATATGAATAGAATACAGTTATACTATGTAAAAGTATTATAAGGATAAAAAAAAAACACAAAATAGTATAAAATCTTCATTTTAAAGCTGTATTTTGTAAAAAAAAAAATTTTAAAACAATATGACAAGTTATACATGTTACTTTATTGCTTTTACACTGTGTGTGTTCTTTAATCATGGTATTAAATGTGCATGAACACATTAGGATCAAGGGTGCTAACCCGCTCCATTTTTACAAATATTCAATTTTTGTTGTATTAGATGCTTCTATAGCTTACCAAAAGCAGCCAAGAGGTGAATAGTAAAGTTACACAATGGCGTAAGCAAAATTACTCGAGAAAAAAATATTTAAGATGTGAGGTTCCTTGTAAAAGTAAAAAAATTACTTTTTGTCGTCAAAATCAAACTTTTTAGACATAAATTTAATAGTGGTCTATTCTCTAACCAAAACACAACTAGTTTTGAAGATACAATAAGTATGAAGATACAATAAGTAATGTAAGTATGGAGATAACGCTATAGGATTAAAGGTGCCTTCCTTACATAGATAATAACTTAAATGTTATTTTCAAAATTTAAGAAAAGCAAAAACTCCGAAAGGGAACCCAATATTGTAAATAAAATGTTGCCAAATTTTGAACAAATCTAAATCGGGCTGTAATATTTTTCTTCATACATGCGATCATATTTCTTCCTCAAATTTCTCAATTCTGGAGCATCAATAATTTCTATGAAAAAGAGTTCCAGTTTATACGGTTGGTGAAGAAATATTGCCGCTGTACCTAATGATTTACCAGTTGACACTTTCCTCGTATAGTAAAACAAAGGGTTTTGCTCTTTTGTATTGACAATTTTTGTAATGGTGTTGAACTTTGTCTTTATATAATTTTTTTATAAAATTTATAAGGAAGTAGACACCTTTTGTCTTTAATAGGATTTGGTGCAACAAACACACTTTTCCAGTCTTAACAAAAAGTTGATTCCTTATATTCACATAAGACTTTTTGACTATTTTTTTAAATAGATAAACATATACAGTCATAAACAAGAACACGTTGTTTTTATTAACGCAATCTAATTTTTCATAATAATATTATTTCAATATAATATTAAATCAATAGTTAAATTAGTATTTTTTATAAGGGCGGATTTGCTCAAAACTTCTTGAGCTAACCCTCATCCTTCCTTACCAATGTTAATTACACAGGCCAACAACAAAATTTTTTTTCTGGTGTCGAACAAACGATTTGTTTTTCATTTAGAGCATTTCTCATTTTGATTTCAAATATGCAACTCATTTTTCATTATCACTTCAAGTTGTAAAGATTTTGGGTTTAAATCTTTAAAAATTGGGGTAAAACCCCAAATATTAATTTAAAAAATTATTAAAAAATATTTTTACCTGCGTCCGTAGATCATCCAGGTCATATCCTAAAAATCCGGAAAATTGTTAGGGTAAAATATCCGGATATTTTCCTCTTAGATTTGCTTTTAGCTGAGTTGTTTCAAGTTTTTTCCCAAGCTTTTTATTATTTTTGTATGAGTGATGAGTAAAAATGCTTAAAAAACAAATATATTGCAATACCCAAGCTTGTATGTATGAAAAACGTTTTGAATATCCGGAAAAAAGAAAAGTATCCGGAAATATCCGGAAAAAGATAATCCCTATGCGTCTCAAAAGAAGCGTATTTTTATAGAGATTTTAAAAATAATACTTGTTTGTGATAAAAATAATTACTTTTTTAATATTGCTGAGAAACATTGTTTTAAAATTTTCAAATCAAGTATTTTTTCACATAATTTTTTGTCAATAAATTTTAAGGAAAAGTATTTATGTTATCTAAAATCTCTATGAAAATACGCTTCTTTTACGACCGAGGTTAACACTTTTAAAAAGTTTTTTTTTTAATAATATTTTACCCCAAATACTAAAGATTTAAACCTAAATTTTTTTACAACTTGACGTGAAAAATGAGTTGCATATTTGAAACTAAAATGAGAAATACTATACAAAAGCAAAACTTAAAATAGAAATTTCCCATAAAGTTATGTGCAGACTGACAAACAAATTCTTTGTAGACTGATTTATCTCTCTTAGGAGTCGGACAAGATTTGTTTGCACCTCTAAAAAAAGTAAACTTCAACTAGTGAAATTTTTTTATTTATAAATTGAACTCAGACATTAAAAAGATATTTTTAATTTAAGAAACTTGCGATCATAAATATTTATTATATCCTAGAGAAATTTGTAAATCCATCAAAACAAAAACAAAAACTAAAAAAAAATAAATAATAATAATTGAATAATTTCGTATATTTTTCAAAAAAATTATTTATTAACACGACAGCATGAAGAGTATTTTTAATTATTTTTTATCACAAAACATTAAAATCATATTGTTCAGATTCCGAAATGCTGGTTGTGCTTACTTGCTTCTTGTTTTCTAAATTAAAGTTATAAAATCAAAATATAAAAGGTTTAAAGCCGCCTTGTAATTTTAAAATGAAAATTTATAAATTTAAATTTCAAAAAATGAAATAAAAACTCACTCATTTTTCTCAATTCTCGTTTTTTTGATTTTATAAGATTCTTCATTTGCTTATTTAACTGTTTATTGTGATCATTGGTATCATCAGTATCACTTTTCTTTGACTGATTATCGTTAAACGACACTTTCTTTTTTTTGGGTTTAATAATAACAACTTGCTGCTAAAGAAACAATATATATATATACACACACACACACACATATATATATATATATATATATATATATATATATATATATATATATATATATATATATATATATATATATATATATATATATATATATATATATATATATATATATATATATAGTAGTAGTAGTAAAAAAACCAGGTAACAAAAGAATTTAAACTATGATAAGTAAAGTATATGACTAAAATTAATACAAATTTTTAAATTTTTATAAACACTAAAGGCATTTTATATAAAATTTTAAGTTTAAAAAAGTCATTAAAATTGACGGAATTTATTAGACTGTTGTAATTTTGATTTTTTTCGCCTAGAGTTTTTAGATTAGACGAAGTTTTGACAAGTTTGCTGGATTCATGTTTTTTGAGATTAAATCGACACCATTATGTTGATGCCATTTAGTTAGACTTTTTGAGTAACAGTAATATATGTGATATATTGAGTAACAGTAATATATTGAGTAACAGTAATATATGTGATATATAAGTATATAACAGTAGATATAACAGTAATATATTGAGTAACAGTAATATGTGATAATAACGCAAGATCAGACCAAAAGACAAGTTGATCATCATGCCTTTGGATCATAGACAAAAGTCGCTTTTTTAAACATGCTTTTCAAATAAGCTTTTGAGTTTGTTTCCTTTCGTGAAAAAATGGCTGGATTCTGAAACCACACAAACAGTCGGCTTTTTAAACTAAAAATTTCTTGGTGAATTTTTTGGTTTTCATTGTTTTTAGCATAACTCTAGGCTTTTTTCCTCTCAGAAATGTATAAAATTGCTGGCGAGGGCACGTCAAACAGTCGAGTTTGCAGTAGCTTTTAATCATCCATTACAAAACACTTTTAACTTTATTGAAATTTTTCTCGTTGCATTTTTCGACTACGTTTTTAGCCCTTTCCTAAATTACCGTGTTTTTTTGGGAACACCCGTTTCTGATTCGACATCATGAACCGAGTACTTATGATTTGCATTAATCCACCTAATAACTTTTTGAAGTTTTAAACTTGACAGATCCCTTTCTTGGTTTCTTGACTTTCTTTCCAATAACTACCAAGAACTATGAAATTTTAAATCAGAATTATTTTAAACCATAATACCTGTGTAATTTTGCTTGACTCATCAACATCATCTTCCATTTTTTCGCAATCCTCAGTGTCCTAAATAAATCAAAAACCATTATACATTTAAAATAATGTTTTATAGAAGTATGTTATCAGAGAGTGTTATTTAATAAATTAAATAACACTATCTGATAACATATTTCTATAAAAATCAAAGAAAAGAAAAAAAGTAATATCTTACATTTTACTTTTTTATATAAAAAAGTAAGATTATAGCTTTTTATCTATTTTATTTTTAAGAAAAATATATTTTCAATAGGGATATAATCACAAATAGTGCACTTTAATTTCAAATATTTATACATTACTGTTTATATAAATTTTGTTATATATTAGATATGAAAAATGGTTAGGCTAAAAAGACATGAAGAAAAAAATATTTAAAAGTATTTTGAGTTAGAATAGACCTGTTAAGCATAATGACATATCACTATTTAGTTACATTGAAACATAATGCCAGATCAAGATTTAGTTACATTGAAATATGGTAGATCACTGTTTAGTTACATTAAAACATAATGACCGATCACTATAAAAAGTTACGTTGAAACATTTTGATGGTGTATAGACATGAAAACACAGAACAACAACAGATAACTTCAATTTTTAAGAAATAGTTGCTTCTTAGAAATAAAAAAATAGAGACCAGAAAAAAATTTAGAAAAAAATGACATTAGGATGTTTAAATTTACAAATAACAGGTAAACAAGTTGAAATTTGGAACTATAAAAAATATTGAACTAATATATCCAACAAGTCTAGCAAATGGTCTTAACGATAATGATGATAATGATCAAAATTTGACCATTAACGTTTTGGAAAAAAAACTTAGATAACAATAAACAATAATGATTTTTGTTTCTATTTAGAATTTGATTACTTTATTTTCATCTTCACTGTCTTCATCTTTAACTTCGTCCATCGCAGTTGGTTTACCAGGGTCCAACACAAGAGCAAATTCCATATTCTGCACAAGACTATTTAAGTCTAACTTCTCCTCTTCTTCAAGAGCTTTCTAAATGTTATATTAAACAAATTCATAATGAACTCCATATTTTAAAAATGATTAAAAAAAAAAAATTTACTAAATCAAATTCAGCGCCCCAATATTGTTGTATTGTTGAAGATGAATGTTCTGTATTGATTTGATCTATTGGCGGATGTGTGTAAAATGTTATTTTTCCACTTAAAAAAAAAAATTAAAAACAACATATATATATATATATATATATATATATATATATATATATATATATATATATATATATATATATGTAAATAATTAGTAACTAATATGAATTTATATAATGATATGAATTATATATATATAAGAGACACAAAGTCAGGGCTTTGGAGTGGCTCCATAGTCAGAGCTATCCGGAGCTCATGATTTTACATGGAGCTGATCCGGAGCTGGAGCTAAAATATTTCCTGTTGGAGCTGGCTCCTGAGCCAGCTCCATTTTGATATATCAAAGTTCCATAAAGTTATTATTTTATATAATAAGATTTCTTTTAAGAATTTAAACAATTAAGCTAATTAAAATATTTATAATTTCTAAATATGGCATATTTTCATATGCTTTATATATAAAAAAAAAAAACAGTTAAATAATAGATGCACAACTTGAGGCAGAAAAATCTTTAAAACATTTAAAAAAAGAATTTTTTAATTTTAATATTTAATAAAAATATACTTAAACTAATAAAATTATTTTTGTTTTTTAAAAAAATAGTAAGCATTTTTTGAGAATTTAATTTTTATCCAATTATTTTGTGTAATATGTCAAGTGGTTCATATTGTTGAGTATGATAAGTTACTTTAAAACAATACTTCTAAACAATGTCAATAATTGGTTAATAAAAATATACTTTATCAATGAGTTAAGTTACATGATTTGTCTTTACATTTTTAATTAGTTAAAACATTTTTAAAAAAGATTTAATCACGTGTGTTCCAAATTTTAAAACAATTTTAAAAAGGTTTTTTTTTTTGATTATTGATATTACTTTGTTTATACTTTTTTTTTAATTTGTATTATCTTTAAAAAAAATTTTAAATAAATTTTTGTTTCTAATTTTATTTAGAAATATAAAAGCTTTTTTAATGTTTATTTATGTTTGCGTGAGTTGCCATAACGTTTTGTGTTGATTTTATTTAGTTAATCAAAAATAGAATAAAAATAATCAATATTATTATGCAAGAAAAAATCAAGTTAAAACTTTGGCGCTGATAGATAAGAAGGACAGCACAACTCTGCTGCTATCAAAAAAATGGTGGAAGACACTATATATAGATTTGGTATCAGCAAAGATCAAATAGTATGCGCAAGTGTAGACAATGCAGTCAATATGATTAGAGCAATCACACTTTTAAATGAATATTTAGGTGATGAAAATTAAATCTTTTAAAGTTATTTAGAGGTGATGAAAATTAAATCTTTTAGAGATGAAGTATTGCAGGACGAAGAACAAGAGGGTACAAAAGAGGACTTTTTACAACAGGAATGAGAAAAATGAAACAAATGAGGAAGAAAATGCAGCAGCTTGGGAAGAAAATCTAGCCTTTGTCTTCGCAAAATGGTGTCAACAATTATGTCGTAACATTAAGCTGATGCACTGTGTTATTCACACTTTGCAGCTAGCTATTCGCAATGCTTTAAAAAAAAACATAGATTGCCCAACTTTTAGCATAATTACGTTATTTAAAAACTAAGAAACTAGCATGCAATATCATTAGCAAGGAAGCAATATAAGGTCATTCTAATTTTAGATAACAAGACACATGGGGGTTCTACATTCTGGATGATTGAACAATTATTACTTTTGCAACCAATGTGTGAGCAATTTGCTGCAGTTGATCAGATATTCTTTCTACGCCCTGAAATATGGGATAAGTTGAGTCATCTTTACGATCTTTTAGAAAAGCTGTATGATGTGACAGTTAAACTTAAAGGAATCGACAGCACTCCAGGAGAGTTCCTAAAAGAATGGTTGAAATTGAAATCTGACCTAGAAAAGAATCAAGGATTAATTGTGGAAGACATTTCAAAATCAACACAGAAATGAGAAGAAAAACATTTTGATAACGATATATTTCTAGCTGTAGTTTATTTTGATGTTAGATATAGAATATTGTTGAAAGAAAACCATATAATACAAGCAAAACAAAGCTTAAAAATAATAGCAGAAAAAATTTAAGTTAAAAAATAAGAAACACTGCTGAGCCATCTGCAACAACTCTTTTAGTTTCAAGTGAATCTAATTCTGATGGAGAAGAGGTGGAGTTTGATAAAAAATAAAAAAGGAAAAGTGTGACCAAAATTAGTTTTAATGATAAAAATACTTTTAATACAAATTTTATAGACAACTGTAGAGTAATGGAAGAAATGAGACGTTTAAAAGTAAAATCAGCTTTTGTTTGTCTCACAAGCAAGTGTAGAGAGGCTATTTTTTGCACTTAAGTTTATATCTAGCGATCTGCAATCTTCACTCAAACCAGATATTTTTAGCAATTATATACAAAGTACTTAAGTTACTGTCATAAAACAATAAAAAAAAATTTTGATTTGTTTTGCAGAGCCACTCAGGAGCTGCAGCCGGAGCCAATTTTCATACCTCAGCTCCAAAGCCCTGCATAAAAGTTGTATAGATTAAGTTTTTGATCTATAAATTTCTTTTTTATGTTATTTTTTTGTTTTTACAGAACTAGTACAACTTGAATAATTTAATTTTATTTTAATGTATAAATTAAATCTTTTATTTTGCTAAGTATATACCAATATTTTTATACCTATTCCAATCTTGTAACAAAACTTTTGCGGAAGCATGAACATCTGCAACACCACCCTTTTTTAGTTTTCCTAATCTTTTTGCAAACAAAACTAAAAATTCATGAGCATCAGAATAATCAGCTACACAATACTTTTGCATTATCATTGTCTTTTCACATCTACTAAGAATAGCTTCAACTGGTTTTATTGGGTCAAGGATTTGTTCAACCTATGAAGACTTGAAGTACTAAAGTGTCTGCCAAAAAAATATCTATGAATATTTAATGCATAAATAAATTTAAAATTATATTTAAAAATAAAATTTCTTGTAAAAACCAAAGTTGTATTTGAAAAAAAAATAACTACCTTGACAACATTTCTTAAAATAACTTGCATATCTGTAGAGCTTGATCCCATTACTACACCTGGGCAATCAAGCAATTTAACATACTTATCAAGTTGAACCTCTTGCATACTTCTGTGATTAAAAAATATAAAAGTTGTTATGGACAAATTTTCAAATAAATTGTCATAATAATTACTAGACAATTTTTAAAATTCAAAATAAAAAAGATTTAATTTTACTTTGAAAAACGTTTTTACAAATATTTACTTAGTCAGCCCAGGGGTTGAACCCACCAAGCATGCTTTTGACCTCCTTAAACTATTTATAACACTACTTTTGCCCACATTTGGCAGACCAACAATTCCAACAGTTATGCTTGTTTTGATACCAGAATTCCTACAATAGTTTGCTAACAGCTTTAGCAATGTACTAGCACCTAGACAACTGCTGCTTTGTAACAGCTCTTGTGAAGCAAGATCAATAGGAACTTTGGATTGGCCCTATTAAATGCAAAAAATAACTTTTGCATTTTTGTAAGAACTTGTAAATAACTTTAATTAGAAATTAACTTTGTAAATAATTAAAACTTTGAACTTTAAAAAAACAAAAGATATAATCACCAATTTGCTTTTCTGGTCTTGCGTGGATGCTTTGAATGCAACAGCTGGTAATGTGTTACGTAAATATTTTAACCATTTTTCTACGATATCTTTTGGAACTAAATCAATTTTATTGAGTAATAGTATTAATTTTTTATTGGGTCCAGATGCCATAACCATTTCTTCAATTTGTGGACAGCGACATCCCATTGGATCACGTGCATCTAACACTTCAATAATAACATCTGCAGCTTCTATAACTTTTTTTAACTCCTTCATGTAAGTTTTTTTAGATTTTGACTGTGGCTGTGCACCTTCGTCTTCATCTTGTTTGTTTGCCTGTTTTTTTTCATATTGTGCAGCACGCCTCTCAGCATCTTTTTGTAAGTCTTCTAGTTTTCTCTTTCTATTAACATCATTTTTTTTCTTTTTTGCTTTTTCAAGTTGTTCCTTTTCCTTTATTTAGAGTAAAAAGTAAAACATATTTAAATCATGTATAACAATTTTTTAATAATACAAAAAAAAAAAAAAAAAAAAACTTGAATAAATGATAAAACAAAAAAAATGAATAGCCAATTGAATATTTTTCTGTTTATTATGTCAACAGCTGTTCATTTTCAATTCAACTATAGTCCTTAACCCAAGTCAATTCAACTATAGTTCTTAACCCAAGAGATAATAAAAATAAAATAACTTTAGGAGATAATAAAAATAAAATAACTTTAGGAGATAATAAAAATAAAATAACTTTAGAAGATAATAAAAATTAAAAAGTTATGCATTTTACAAAAATACAAATGTACAAAAGAAGATGGCACAACAATGTTGAGTTTACTGCTTAAGTTAAAAGGCATATATATTTTTTTCACATAAACTAAGTATTAAGAGGTTATTTATTTAAATTTGTTTCATTTTTAATGCTTTATTTGAATTATTAAATTATTGAAATTCCTAGGCATCATAAGTTTTGTAAATGACATGCTATTTGACCTATAGGTCAGAAAGCTTGAAAAAGTCAAAAAACTGCATTGGATAATCAAATGTTTTTATAAGCTGCTTGTCTACTAGTATCATTTAGCCTCCACCCACTTGCTTTTGCCCTCAACTGTGATGTTTTAACTGTGATGTTTTTTGTTCCACAGTGATATTTTTATAGGCTGCTTGTCTACTAGTATCATAATTATTTAGCTCCCACCCACTTGCTTTTGCGCTTTAACTTTAAAAATGACATGAACGATCTAAAGACTGCAGGTTCCAAATCTATAATTGGATCAATTTAATCTCTTTACCTCTGTTCTTTTAAACTTTCTAGAAGGAAAAAATTAAATTTGTTCCATCTGATGAAACCTGTAAAATCTTTAATTTATTTATATTTAAAATACAGTTTAAGAATCTTTACATCAGTTGAGCATGAACTCTGGATTAAGATAATGAGTTTTACATACCAACTTTGTTATCCTAAAATTAAACTTAAAGGTTCACTTAACTCTTCAAAAAAAAAAGTGGATTATGGATTTGTCAAATACTTTAATATGGTGCATTAGATAGCCTAGATAATAAATCATTTTGAAAAAAGTCAAAATGTTGCAAGATAACTTGCCTTAGTGGGTCTACATTAAAACAACTTAGCAATGTCACTATGTGAAAACATTTTACTATATAATATTTCAGAATCAGTTGAAGAACTTATTGAATATTTATAAGAAATAGAAAGAAATACAAAACTATAAACAAGAAAATGCAAACATATAATAACTAAATACTTATATATATATATGTATATATACATATATATATATATATATATATATATATATATATATATATATATATATATATATATATATATATATATATATATATATATATATATATATATATATACATATATATATATATATACATATATATATATATATATACATATATATTTATATATATATATATATATATATATATATATATATATATATATATATATAAATGTAGAAGATACTTAAAACAACTAATAATAAATTTACAAAGAATCTCGAACTGTTAATCTATAACTGTTTTCTAAAGTCTCTTGAAAGCAAGAAATGTTTTACTTCGCTTAAGTTAAACATTTGTTTAGTCGAACCGTTTTCCTTGGAGGTTTGAGTTAACGGGAATTTACTACATGTAAACTTCTAGGACTTTTCCAGGATTTTTCAGAATAATTAAAAAAATCCAAAACTTTCCAGGACCACTTGTAAATTCAAGGACTTTCCAAGAATAAATTTGAGCATTTGTAATTAAGATTATAAAGATAGGGCTATCAGAAGTATTTTTCAAACCACAAAAATTAGAGCTAAAGGATTCCTAAGCAAACTTAAAATCTCAATTTCAAAATAGACCCCTAGCTAAGCTGATTGCATGTTTTTTTAAAACATATTATACTTTGCAACAACACACAAAATCAACAATAATTCATATATCAAAAACAAATGTGTAAACAAAAAAAATTATAAACTTTGTTTATGTAAACAAGTGTCTAATATTTAAGAAAAAGAAAAATAATAAATTTTATAGAAAAAAATTTTTAATGTATTTAACTTACAAGCTGTTTGCGTTCTTCTATCTGCTTTAAAAGTTTTTCTTTGAATGGGTATGAATTTGGAATTCCAGGATCTGTTGGTTTTCCTAAAATTATAAACAAATATTTTCAATCCTGGGAATTCGGTATTACATTTACTTAGTCCTGAGATTCTGGAATTGAACCTGAGATTTTTAAATGCGATTTTTAAAAGATGTTTACATTTTATTATTGTAAGATTTTGAGAAAATTAATAATACGATAAAAATAGGTTTAAATAAAACTATTTATTAAATTATTAAATATCTTTATTTTTCTAACATTATACATAATTAATTATTAAATTATAACAATTTCATTGCTTTTATAGAATAACGTATGTAGTTATTTTAAATTAATTTCAAAATACATTATGAGGAATATATATACATATATACACACACACAATTTAATATATATAATTATATATATATATATATATATATATATATATATATATACACATATATATAATACATATATAATTATATATATATATATATATATATATATATATATATATATATATATATATATATATATATATATATATATATATACACAATTTAATATGTATATAATTATATATTTATATATATATATATATATATATATATATATATATATATATATATATATATATATATATATATATACACAATTTAATATGTATATAATTATATATTTATATATATATATATATATATATATATATATATATATATATATATATATATATATACACAATTTAATATATATATATATATATATATATATATACATACACAACTTAATATGTATATAATTATATATATATTTATATATATATATATATATATATATATATATATATATATATATATATATATATATATATATGCAGTAGTGGTGTAGTGGTAGAGCGCTTGCTTCTTAAATGAGTGGTTTCAAGTTCAATCCCCACCACGCCCCTGGTAGTACTGCGCTTAACTTGTTTCTTAGCGCAGCGATCTTGTTCGTCAAGGTTCCTGTTTCGGAGTTATAGAGTTGAGAGAGGGTTATAACCACAAATAAGTAGCCTCCTCGTCTGTAGTGGCCTTATTGGCCTTGAGGAGGTGAATTAAAAAAAAAAAAAAGAATTATATATATATATATATATATATATATATATATATATATATATATATATATATATATATATATATATATAAATATATATATATATAAATTAAGTATCATGCATAGATTTATGAGCTGCTTTAGAATTATTTAGAATTTTCACAGAAAGCTTATATTATTATTATATTTCACATTGTTTTAACTTAAAAAATATTTTAAAGTTTATTCTTAGAAATAAATTGCAAATATTACTTTTCTAAAATGAAGCTGTTTATACCTTTAAAGAAACTATCGATACAAAAAAAAAAAAAAAAAAAAAAAAAAAAATAGTTGAGAAGGTACTTTAAAATATCTACATAAAAATAAACATAAAAACAATTTGAAATAGTATTACTTATCTTCAGGGTGAGGCTATACAAAAAAAAGTTTTTAAAGAGGTCGAAAATCACAATAAATTTACTGATTTATCACATACAAATAATAACAGCTTTTATAACCTTCATTTATAGGATGAAGTAGCATGAATTACATGACAGTTATTTTACTGATAAAAAAAATATTGTTTTCAAAAAATATTTGCTAGGGATATAAAATTCCTAATCTTTTTTCACTTGCCAACAAAATCCAAATTTCAACATATTTTAGGTTAAAAAACTAAAATAATTAAATCAATTTCAGCAGCTCTCAATAATGTTTTAATCTTTTTTTATAGTTTGTATTCTAATATGTAAAAATGTATGTTCTTTTTTGGGTCTAAAATTGACTGGTTTAAAGAGTAGATGCAAAAATGTTGCTGCTGCATCATCTTAGAGTTTGGGTTGAAGCAGCAATAAGTTTTTCTCGCTTATTTTCATTTTTTTGAAAAACCATTAAGAAAAAAGACAGCATTTTTGCATTTCATAATCAAGTTAAAGGCTATGTTTTAGCTTGACTATGGACTATTATATTTAAATAAAATTTGACTGTGGTTTAGCTTGACTATGGCTTGACTTTTAAATTTAAATAAAAATGAATAAATTTAGATTTAAAACTCAAAGGAAACTCAAGTATTAGAAAAAAAAAATAATAATAACTAATCAAACAAATTTATTCAAACAAAATTCCTTATTTAAGTACATACTGTTTGATTTAAGTTTTGCTTCTTTTCTTTTTTTTCGATTATGTTCGGCAACCTAAAAATATATTTATGAAAATAAAATAATAACTTTACATTACATATATGCATAAATATTCATATTATATTAGCTATACATTATATATCAGGGGAAAATTTTGGTTATCTCTATCATATATGGGGGCTGAAATTGGTATTTAAAGTTTAATATTGCTTATACAAATGTTTGAAGCACAAAATGAAATATTTGTGTGATCAACATTTGATTTATTAATGGGACAACCAAGTCCAATTCATATTTTGTGTCAAAGAAAATGGTAAAAATTAAAAGCTAAAAAGTAAAAAGTAAATTATACTTAATAAAATTAGATAATGAAAACACATGCTTTGGCAGGAATGGCAAACTTCAGCCCGTGCCATCCTCCATATCTGTACATCAAAAGAAGAACAAAAAAAAAATTCATACAAATGCTTCTGAACAAAAATTTTCATATTCTATGACATTTTTATTCACAAAAAAAATAAATGAACTTTTCTTAATAATACGTAGAAGTACAAATAATTGTTTTTATATAAATATGTTATATACTATAACATATATATTATCATATATTTTTATGGTGTTTTATTAAAATGATTATTTTATAATAATTTTATATTATCACATATTTATTTAATTAATAACTAAATTATTAAATAAAAATAAAAAACAATAATATAAAAATTAATAAAAAAAAAAAGCGTTAGAATAAATTTTTTAAACGATTTTCTGTCTTTTTATTGCTAAAAAAACAAATACTTGCAAACCGTAACAAAATAAAAGTTTCAGTAGAAAGTATCAAAACATAATTTATATTTCTCAAAAAAGCCTGCACAAGAATATATAAGCAAGCGACCTCCTTTTTACCTTAATCAAAAAATCTAAATACATTTTTTATGAGTATTTAATATTTTTTTTAATTAGCTAATACTTTTTATTTACAACTTTTTCTGATTAAAACAAAAGAATGAATGCATAACAAGAAAAATTAACTTTTTTATTTTAGTCAAAACTAACAAAAATAATAAAGAAATATAAACACAAAATAACTGTTGTTGACAATTGTTTTTCTCATATATTTTTTCATTATTTGCGAAAAAATTTTTGAAAATTGAAAATTTGTTTATTTGATTATTCGAAAAAGAATAAATCAACTTGACCTTGAACAAAGACATGGCAAGGAGCAACATGGAAATGGAAAAAACTTAGTTAAAAAAACAAATCAAAACAAAAACCAAGGAGAACCACAGAAGAGTGAAATGCCTGCACAAACAGCTGTCAACACAAGCAGCTTGCATAACCAACCAAGTCCTGCTTTTATTTTTTAATGTTATTTACTATCCCATAACGGAGAGGCCCATTAGATTCCAGGAGGCTACTTTATTGTGGTCACAAGCCTTCCTCAACTCTTTAACTCCAAAACAAACCTTGGCAAACAAGGTCGCTGTGTGGAGAAACAAGTTGAATGCGGTTATACTAAAGATGTAATAGGAATCAAACTCAAAATTTTTGTTTTATAAACAAGCACTCTACCAGTACACCACTACTGCATAGTCATTTTATATGAATATAAAATGACTATGTGGCATATTAAATGAATAGGTATGAATACCTACTCATTTAAGTTGTTTTTACACATTTTTTTGCATTTTCTACTTTTTATTTTAATTTTTTCTTATTTTCGTTTTTAAATATTTGAACTTTTATTATTTTAATATAACTGAAAAAAAACAAAAAAAAAATTGAGGAATAAATGAAAGTTGCCAGAAACAGCCTGCTTTTGATCAATTTTAACCCAATACAACCTGCCACATATTTTGCTGACTGGAAAGATTGAAAGAGGGACAAGAGAGACCTAACCAATATTTATTAAAATTAAAATGATGATTTGTACAAATCCAACTTTTACATAAATGTCTGTTTACGAGTGGTATGGCATAAACATGTTTTGCTGCATTATTTTGAAAAATATGTATCAGCATAGACTTTTTTGAATACTAGAATACTTCAACCCAATTATGCACAGATTTCTTTTATATAAACTTTGTTAACAATCAATCTTTTAACAATTAGCTTCAATTATGTTGTAAACCCCAGTGGGGTTGGGCAGGGTAATATATATAATCATAAAATATATTAACATATTATGATATCATTGATAGACCATCAAATAGTCTACAAATCAACTAGACTCATAGACATAGCTAGCTAGGGCTATTTGCGTCGAGCAAAAAAATTTTTGTTTGAGTATATTTTTTAGCGGAATTTTAATGAAGTAATTTACGATTACTTTAACATTTAATAAAGTATTTTAAAAACCGCATGCAGTTGATATAAAAGTTTGAATTACAAAAAAAATAAATATGCTCATTATTTACAAGTAGAAAAAATTCAGATTAAAAAAAAAGTTTAAATCTTTTTAAGCTAGCATTTTAATAAAATTAATCAGCAATAGCAAAGTTGTCGATAAAATTGAACAAAAATACTTTTAGTTTTAGATTTTTAACTTAAATAATTATTTTACGGGGTTTGTTAGGTTTTGAAATTATTCCATAGATTTAAAAATATTTATTAACTGTTAGACGAATTTAAGTATTTAAGAGTAATTTTGAGAAAACATTTTAAAAATTGGTAAACGCAAATAAAAATAAAAGGATTAATATTAAAACATATTCTACTTGATTCAATAAAAAAGTACAGTTATTAAAATTTTTGTAAAAAGTAACTCGAAAAAAATTACTTAAATAATAACAATCGCTTTTTTGTTAAAAGTTACCAAAACTCAACGAAGCGTGCTCAAGAACAGCTGCTGAAAAATAGAACGTCAATAGTTTTTCAAATAATTTTTAATATTAATTTGAAAGAATATGAATAAATTATAAATTTTTTTGCTGAAATATTTCTTTTATACCTAAAAGATTTTTATTCTAACATTTTATTTTATTTTACCAAAAATAAAATTCCTTGTAAACATTAAAAATCTATTCAAAATGTTCGTTAAAGTTTTTTAATAATACGAGTGATTGTGCTTATCAACCGCTTTATGAAAATAAATAAAAATAAATAAATAAAAAAATATTATATAAAATCGCTAGTAAAAATATTAGCTATTGCACAGTTTTTAATCATACAATATTAAAATTTCCAGTTTATTACTCTTTGACTTTTTAAAAAGAAAAAATAATTATTTAAAAAACTAATGTTTTTCATTCGTTTAGTATAGACAAAAGGTGTCAAACGTTGAGAAAATAAACAAATGTTTTTACATTTTAAAAAACGAAACATTCCAAAACATTTTTAAATAATAACATTTCTACATTAATGATTTAAAGTAGTTTTGCGGTAATTAAGTAAATTGGTGCCGTTAATGTCGATAAATATGAAAAGCAAATAAAAAGAATTTAATGACGTCGAAAATCACGTCGTGCTTATGCGTCGCGCAGTTTTTATTCATCACAAGGCCTGATATATATATATATATATATATATATATATATATATATATCAGGAGCTTTTCTAGTTCGTTTTAAAACATCAACCATATTTGGGCGCCGCCCCAATTAAAATTTGAGGACCTTTTTTTATGTTTTTTACTGCAAATTATTTTTTTCCCCGCAAAAACACACAGATTTTCCACTAAATTTCTCTGGAACAGAGAGGTACGCGGCTCATATTTTATATCCTAGAATAGCCCCTGTGTGTATATATATATATATATATATATATATATATATATATATATATATATATATATATATATATATATATATATATGTAGTGATACTATTTTGTGCATATACTATCAAGTCAGAGCTATAATATATATAGTAGAAAATAAAACTACATGATTTTCACAACTTTAAGTTTCATGTTAATACATATATATATATATATATATATATATATATATATATATATATATGTGTGTGTGTGTGTGTGTGTGTGTGTGTGTGTGTGTGTGTGTGTGTGTGTGTGTGTGTGTGTGTGTATATATGTGTGTGTGTGTATATATATATATATATATATATATATATATATATATATATATATATATATATATATATGTATACATATATATACATACATACATATATATATATATATATATATATATATATATATATATATATATATATATATATATATATATATATATATATATATATATAAGGGTGGTCCTTGAAACAACTTTTTTTTCTTATGTCTGTTCCTACCCTCTAAATGTGTTCTATAATAAAACAATACTAGAATTAAAGCACTTTCAAAAAAAAAATTTTTTTAGAGGTTGCTAAAGACCAGACGAGTCCCCATAATTATCAAAAAAATTGTTCTTCAAAAGTATATCATGTTGGATCTCAAAAGAAGCGAAATAATATAAAAACTTTAAAAGTAATTATTATTTTATGAAAAATTATTATTTTAGATTTCACTGCTTAGAAAATAACATTTTTAAACTAAAAACTAAAAATATGTATTTTTACAATAAAATTTTATTATAATTTTTTTTTCTCCATGTTTTTTATAAAATGATGATTATCATTAAAAAATTTTAATTCTAGTATTATTTTCCAATTTAGTATACTGTTTTATCAGAATTGTCTTACATGTTATTTAATTGTTTGTCAAATAATTTCGGAAAATGTTCTTAAATTACTTCATAGTTGAAAATTAAAAATACAATAAAAATAGGTATTTGAAAAGAAACTTTTCTTGTAAAATATAGAACAATATAAGTAAAAAAAGTTAAATTTTTTTTTGTTTATTTGTTTAAATCAAGCCAAAATACAATACTTTAGTTATAGCACTATTTAACACAAATTATGTCTTAGTGTTGGAGTGCTTCGAGCAATCATCTTTTCTGTAAGAACTTTTGAAATTTTTAAAACTTTTAAAATTATTAATATATTATTGGGTACTAGGATTTTTGCCAGGTGGCTAAGGTAAAAAAGTAACACAAAAACTTGAAATCTAATTAATGAAAACCTTTTTTACTATCTTGAAACGTTTTCGACAGGTCATTCTTTTACTCTTCGAATCTAAATTTATATAAATTCCAGTAAATTAATTAATTCCAATTATAATATTATTTCTACTTTATTGCTAATAACCAATTATAATATAACTTAAAATTTAAATCTTTGATACTTATAACAATATTGTAAAATTTGTGCCATTTAAGAAAAATATGTCTAGGTTAATTTTAAAATATTAAATGATAATAACATTTTAATAATATACTGAATATAATAAGTTTAAATACAACTTTTTCTTAACCATTTAAGATAAACACAAAAATATATTATTTTTAATATTTTTTAAAAGATTTTTTTAAGATTTACTAAAATCTTCGTTTATTTTTTTAATATTTAAATAAAATATATATTTGATGAAATGGGGTTTTACTAAGTGAATTGATTTATTCTAAAATAATTAGAGCTGCTTCAAATACCTTTAAAAAGATTTATAACTTATAACTATGAATGGACTTTGCAAACCTATTAAATTAAGTATCTACAAATGACTGAACCTCGGCAATTTCTGCCATATTGCAGGCACAATTTTTTCATATACTACAAGTACCAATTTTGAAAATCCCTCAACAAACTAGGAAGCTAAAGTTTAAAGTTAATTATTCTTAAATTGGTATTTTTAAGGTATGCTCATTAATTTTCAGCGTTTGTTACTCTTTTATTTTATGTTTTCTAAAGCGTATAATAAGTTTAAAATATTGAAAACATCTCAGTTTATTATAGATATGTATCACTTACTTAATTTAGGTTTAGACATGATAGTGTTAGATTTTATAGCAAAATAAAAGCATGTGCATTAAATGTGTTTAAAACGCTCGTGTAAAATGTCACGACTATGTCAATTGATCGTTTGAATCTAAAGTTTACGTTTAATATTAAACGAGTTAAATCGATTTACCGATTCAACAAATTAACCTCTTGTTTTCTAACCTTTTTTTTTTTAATAGTGTCGTTATCGACTTTGACTAAATCGACAAAAGTCGAATATACTATTTAATTATTCAAAATCAATCACTTTTTACTGGTCGATCTTTGTCAATTAAGTTGATAAAATCATCTATATAATAGTAGATATTATCAAAGCATAGAATTCATCTTCAGCTAAGGATTCCCTCTAATCGACTAAAAGCCGATATAGTCAAGTAATAACCCTTACATTTTTAAATCTCTTTATTAGATTGTTTTTTCATTTAAAACAATGTTAATATATTATTAATATTATTACATACTACCTAGTTTTTGGTTTACTCTCTAAAGGTTTTATTTTATTTACAGCTTCAAAGCAATATTATACCTAATTAAAGGTATAAATATTGCTATGATACTACAAATAAAAAAAAGTTAAGGGATCTTCCATAAAGTACGTTCATATCTAAATTAATGGTTTTTCATAAAATGCGTTCGCAGGTATGGGGGAAGGAGGTTATCAAAAAACATACAAATGCATACTATGTGAGGGGGTTATAGACAGCGAGTCAGTACGTGGTTTAATCTCTATCTCTCTTAAAACTTTATTTCTTTTTTTTTTAAACAAAACAATGCATTTCACGATTTTAAAAATCAATATTATGTTATATAATATTAAGTAACAAAAAAATATCAAATTAACTAAGTACTATTTTACTTAGGTTATTTAACTATCAATGGCTAAAATTATCATCTTATTGTTTTACTCATAAATGAGCGTTCACTTTATAACGAAAGATTCTGGTGTTTTTTTCTTTTTCCATTTATAAAATCTTTTGCTATAACTTTTACATCTATTATAAGCAGGTCCAACTATGTTTACAATGCATTTTTGCACCTTGTCTAAAAGAGAAAGGGCATCATTAGAAGATCTGCCCCAGATATGGTAACAGTATTCAAGGCCGGATTTAAAATTTATAGAGATAGAGAATAGAATAGGATTTGATATATGGTTTCCAAGAAAGATTGGAAATAAGAGTTAATCCTAGAAGATGAAGGGTAAATGACTCATCAATTACATTACCGTTCATAAATATAGGAAGATCTAAATTATTACAATAACGATTGGCTAAAAAGAAACTGGGTTTATCTGAATTAAAGTGCACAATTAACTGTGAGCAACATGCTGAAGCAGAAGTGAGATATATTATATTTTTTATATTTTTTTATATATTTTTATAAATATTATATTATCATATATATATATATATATATATATATATATATATATATATATATATATATATATATATATATATATATATATATATATATATATATATATATATATATATATATATATATATATATATATATATTCTGTGTTTACTGAAAACTGGTCAAAACTAATCAAGTCAGGCTATGTTATTTATTGTTTCTTAATTTTTATTATATTTAAGGGTCTTATTAGTTAAAATGCTTATAACAAACTTATGACTAATTGAATCGTGTTCGCATTAAGACAAGTAAGAATAAAATATGGGTTTCTCTCTGCACTCGCAAAAATTATTACTTACCTTTTCCCTCCTGCCCCATTTAATTTTTTTTGTTTCCACAGCGGACGTAGTTACGTCACTTACAACGCGGCCTACGGTGCTTTATTTTTATGGTGGGGTAAACTAAAAATCCGACCCTGTGTAACATCAACTAGTTTTACTTATAATAACAGAGGAAAAGTGGAAAATCTTGAAAATCTTTGGAAAGATCAAGCTCAATCTAAGTAACTTTTTTAACATAAATTTGGCTTAAAATTTTGATTGAAATGATGCTTACTTTAAAACTATTGTTCGCTATAATGTGAACCCACACAATAGCGGAAATAATTTATTTGAGAAAAAATGTTCACAGTTTGCATTTTCGAAAACACACTAAGTAGTAATATCTAAACTTTAAAAATATTTTGTCAACAGTTTTCAAAAAAAAAAAGTGGTTGGTCATGGATCTTTGGTTTTCAACGGTCATAGGATAAAGCAGAGGATACAGGTATGCATAGATATCTTATTGCAAGGCTAGCAGATAAAGGTATTTCCGTAGCGTTATTTTCTCACTATGCCAAAACATCTACTCTTAAAGAGGCCTATTTGCCTTAAATCCGAAAAATCAAAAAAAATTGCAAATATGTTGATAATTTTTGTTTAAAAATTGCCTATGCGATGAATTGCGTAGCGATTTTTATAGAGCAAATTTCTGGGCAACTTTTTGCATGTCAATTTTTATCTGAATAATCGCGTACAATTCTTTGCAATTTTTTTCGCTTTTTATTGCATAATTGAATAAAAGGACTTTTGTGCAAACAACCAATGCGGTAGCGTCAGTGCTTAATACGTACATTCGTGGGGAAGGGTTTTTTAAAGCATATGGTGCGTGTATGGGGGAGGAGGTCCTAAATCAGCGGTTTTACTGCGTAGGTACTTAATGGATGCCCCCTTGTATGAAAAATTATGAGTTTTTTTAAAATTCATATTTTTAATATCAAGTTTTTTTCAATTTTTTGAAAAAAATTTGATATTAAAAATAATTACTTTTGGCAAGAAAGTTTTTTGTTTTTAAGCAAGAAACAATCAAAAGAAACAATAAAAAGGTGAAGTTTTAAAAAAGTTGTAGAAATGAAGAAAAAACAGAGAAATCTAGTTTTGATATTTTTTTCTTGCATTGACAGCAAAATCAAGTAAACAACAAGTTTTTAAATTGCTGTAAATCCAAAAAAAATTCGGTCCCCAAAAAAAGAAAGAAATTAGAAAGAAATTTTTTCATAGTACTGGAGACAGCGGCAGATTGCACTCACCTCACGACAAAATCAAAGTTGCATACAGTGACGAAACTATAGGGTGCCATCGCTGGCTAAACGCCACAGACACCGTGGAGGCTGGAGCCATGGTCTGAATTGCAAATAAACTTGCGTTCTAAAAGCCATCGCGTAATAAAAAATTTCTTTATTATTTGAAGCATTTTGCATTTATTTTAATTCTGTATTGAATTAAATGGTTTGTACTGTTATACCTAATGTTCAATTGCTTAACTTAATGTAGATTTAAAAACTGTTATATGTTTATAATTTTAAACATTCCACTGCTGGTTGTATTGAGGTGGCCTCCCGTTTTCTTATATTTTTAAATTATAAGAATTAAAGATTTACATTATAATTAAATTATATATTACAATATGTATTTGTATCTTTTGCAAGCTATTATAGATTGTAATAGACTTTTGGTGTTCAAGATTGGTAACTTCCAGAGATGGTGTAAACTTTTTCATGTCAAATAGAATGTTTTACAAAAAATTACGATGATCGGAGCCTGAAAACAATATTAAATAGAAAAATTGTTCTAAATGTGAGAACACTATGTAGTAAATAAGAATTAAATTCATAGGAAAAGTTAATTTATCTAAAAAAAAGGTTTACTTGTCTAAAAATGGAGACCAAGTAAAGTTCACAACCCTACTTAGGGAGATATCAACTTTACAATGTTATAAGTTTTTTAATTTTTGTTGCGTTTATGATGGTAGATGTTTTTTTTTAAATGTTAATAATGCTGGATTCCCTCCTTACATATATTTGTACCTCGTGACCCTAATTTTAACATAATGTTATTTTCTAAACTCAGATTATCGTGATTTTTTTGTCAAACATATTACTTGCATGAACATGTGTATCTGAAGGTTACCTTTGAAAAAAGAAACTTAAAACTGGTGTTGTATGGTATATATTCAACTGTTTTCCAGTCAGAAAATGGTTTAAACAACAGAAATGAATATTTTCATATATACTCATTTACATTTTCAATCTATAACAGTTTCCAAAAAATGCAAATACATATTATAATATATAATTTAATTTTAATGTATAATCTCTAATTCTAATCTAAAAATAAAAGAAAATCGGTGGCAACTGGCGTTACCGCGTTGGAGGTTAGCACAAATGCCCTTTCTTTTCAATTATACAATTAAAAGCGATGAAAAATTGCAAAGAATCGTAAGTGATTATTCAGATAAAAATTGACGCGGAATAAATTGTCCAAAAGTTTGCTCTATAAAAATTGCTACGCAGTTCATCGCTTACGCAAGTTTTAAACAAAAGTTACCAATATACTTGTAATTTTTTGGGATTTTTTTGATTTATTTAAATTTAAGGCAAATAGATTTTTTTAAGAGTGTCGATGTTTTGGGATGATGGGAAAATAACGCTACAGAGAGCTACCTTCATTTGCTAGCCTTGCAAAAAGCTATCTATACAAGCAGTATCCTCTGCTTTATCCAAATGAATGTTTTTTTAGGGTGACCACATAGTCACTGATTGGCGGTACATTCTGAATCCAGAAAAGCTTAGAATGATGGTATTTGTCAAAGAAAATGAAATAAAATATTATCCAATGACATACATTTTATGAAAATGAGCCAGCTAATTAACCACAACCGGAAGAACCTCAATCGTCAACTTTCAAAGTCAAAAACACCAAGCCACTCAACCTTCACAAGATCTTTCAGTCTCTCTGCTTAGTTCCGAGCCTAAACCATCAACTTTAAAACCAGCCTTTAAGAGCGGGTTTAAAAGTAAATAATATCAGTCGAGTCAAAACTTTTTAGAAGCTTTTTTTTTTTGTATTAAAAAATAAAATAAACCTCTTTTTTTTTTCATTTTTTTGGAATATAAATTTTTTCAATTTTTTTATTAATTGCGGGAATAAAGATAAGTATAAAATTTAATTCCTAAATTGAATTTCTAAAAATATAAGATAATAATAATAGAATTTATAGAAATATAAGATGATAATAACAATCTTTGCAAAAATATAGCGATTTTTTGGATAAAATTGCGGTATAATGCGAGTTTAGCTATAAACACGCAATTTAATCCTAATCCCTGCGATTTTCAGTATTCGTAAAGGATTGTCCATAAATTACGTCACGCAATTTTTGACCGTTTTCGACCTCCCCCCCTCTTCCTCGTCACAAAATCACCCCCCCCTCTTATAGCGTGACGTAATTTATGGACGACCCCAAATGAAAAAAGTCGCATCTTAATTAAATGGCGGTTAATCGTAATCGATAAAAATCGCTTAGCAATTACCTAACAATATATCGCGTTCGTAATTAATCGCCCACGATTACTTATTTAAAAATCTCTATCGAAATTTAACGCACAATTGCATTGCGGTAATGCCAGTGCTTAGTACCAACTTAAAACAAAAACTTTTTAGTTAATTTAACATTTCTCTAAAATTAAACTCGTGAAATTAAATGCTTTTGTATATATATAAAAAAAATTACAAGTTTCAGGAGAAATTGAAAACGAGAAAACGAGAATTTTCAAGAAATTTTATATCCGTCAGTTTGCGATCAGTCGGTTATTAGTTTAAACAATCAAGTTATTTCTGTAAAATATCCGGTCAAGATAAAAAAAAAATTAGGTTGTTTAAAACAATGAGATATATAGGGACGATTGAATAAGTGTAAATTTTATAAGTGCGAACTGGCATAAGTGCAAAGTAGTTGCAAAAACTGACACAAGTGCTAACTGGCATAAGTGCGCCAAAAGAATTTGCAAATATTGGCATATATGCGAATCGGCATAAGTTGTAAATTACTGCCTTATAATTATATTATAAGGCTATAAATAGCCTTATAATTACAGTACAAATTATAGCCTTATCAGTTGCAAAAATTGCCACTTATGGCAGTTTTTACAAATGATTCGCACTTATGATTGTTCGCACTCATGCAAATTCACACTTGTGCCAATGTTTGCAAATTCGTTTGGCGCACTTATGACAGTTCGCACTTGTCTAACCTGCAGGATTTTATAGGACAAAAAGTGAAGGCGCTTTTTTTAGTTTACAAATTTAATCCGCCTTTTGTAAAAAGGGCGGATTAAATTTGTAAACTAAAAAAATTTATTCACAACATTAACTAATTATAGTTAATGTTGTGAAAGCCATTTCTAATTAGGGCAAAAGCGGCTTCAGTTTTCGGATTGAAGTTAAACATCTAGTATTTATAATATATCATTGGTTTAAAAGGAAAACACTATAGATCTTACTGTGATGTTGTTGTAATCTCTACCTCTACAATTCTCTTACCTAAATAACTAACCTTACTCTCATCTTAAAAGCAATCTTTTAAAATTTATTTAAAATGTGATATTTCAATCAACTTTATATGTTGTTAAATTTAATGGAATTTAATTGCAGAATCCGAACTTAAGCTAAAATTTCCAGGCCTGTGAAATTCCATATTCTTGAGTGCTATTTTTAAATAAGGTCTTTGCTCGTTGCAAGAATTATTTCAGCTATTGCAAAGACATTTATTTTTATTTACATTTATTTCCTTTAAACAATAGAATATTTCTCATGGAAATAGAAAAAAAAAGAGCTACAACTACCAACATTTAATTTTTTTAAATTAACTTTTACTTAATAAGTAATTAATTTTACATTAAAATTTCGAATGAAAAAACATTTTTTTAAGGTTTAAACACTTTGTAAAAGTTCTAGCAACACTTTGTAAAAGTTTTTTAAAGAAAACAATTTTTTAAGGTTTAAACACTTCTAGCAACACTTTGTAAAAGTTCTTAAAAAAAAACATTTTTTTAAGGTTTAAACACTTTGTAAAAATTTTAGCAAAACTTTGTAAAAGTTCTTAAAAAAAAAACAACATTTTTTAAGGTTTAAACACTTTGTAAAAATTCTTAAATTCTGTAATACAGAACTTTCGTTTAGACAGTATAAACAAAAAAAGATCAGTATAAACAAAAAAAATTTGAAGAATTTTTTTTTAAAGGAAAGAAGAATTAGTTGTATTAAACAAAAATAAATTTATTATTTGTTTCATCTCATTTCAAACCTACGTTTTAGATTGTCAAAGATGAGGTTTTTATAAACATGTTCGATTTAAGTTTTGCTAATTGAAGAGCTTTATGCTAAAAGTACTCAAGTCTTAAAATTTTGAGAAAATCTATATTTACTGTTTTTACAAAATTTACTGTAAGAAACACATGCCATAAAAACTATGGTGTGAGTACGAGTGCGAACGCGTATATGTCAGGCGGTCTTTATGTGTGCGTGAATACGCGTCTGCTTTTGTGTTTGTAAAAGGTATTTTGGAATTTTATTACCATGTTCCTGCTGTCCTTTTTATTTTTACCTTATCTGACATTAGAAATTTTTAACTTTAAATAATGATAAAAGGCGTATTTATATTTTTAGTTTAGTTAAATGTTTGTTTAATTATGTACAAATATAATTTGAATTTACTTAAAAAATGTTGAACTAAAAGTAAAGTGAACTTTGCTATATAGAGCATAATTTTTTTTAAGTTCAATATTATGAATTTTTAACTTCAATATATAAACTTTGAACAAATTTAACTTTAAATAAACTTTAAGTTTTATGGAAATTTCAGTTAAAAACATTTTGAATTAAGAGTTGTTTAAAAAAAACGAAGCAAACTATAATACAAAGCATTATAGCATAAGCTATAGCTATAATGCTTATAAAGCATAAGCTATAATGCTTTGACAAAGCATTATAGCTTATGCTATAATGCTTATAGCTTATGCTATAATGCTATAATAGCATTATAGCTTATGCTATAATGCTATTATAATATTATTACAATAATAAAATTTCTAACCTATGTTACAAAGCCTTTAATATTTGTAGTATAGGTTGTTTTCATCTTTTATCAAAAGCATTTCTAAATTAAATAACATGTTTTTTTTTAACACCTAAAGAATAATTCTGATAAAATTCTTTGCCATATATTATGTAAAACCAAGTACAGTGGCAGTACAATATCTTACAAAACCGCACAACTCCCTATTTCACAATGACATCAGATAAGGTAAAGTGTACAATAATATATATGTGTGTGTACACACACATATACATACACAGACTTACAAATAGTATTTTACTTATCTTAGTAATCTTGCAATCTTAAAGAAACTTTAACATGCATGCTATCAACTGAGATATTGTCAAAATTAGTACATTGTATATATATATATATATTAGTATATATATATATATATATATATATATATATATATATATATATATATATATATATATATATATATATATATACATATATATATATATATATATATATATATATATATATATATATATATATATATATATATATATATATATATATATATATATATATATATATATATATATATATATATATATACAGTGGTGAAAAAAAAAATATATATATTCATATTTTATTTTATATTATATTCATAATAATAAAATTGGTTTAAAAGGAAAACACTAAAGATCTTACTGTGATGTTGTAGTCTCTACCTCTACAATTTTCTTACCTAAATAACTAATTTTACTCTTATCTTAAAAGCAATCTTTTAAAATTTATTTAAAATGTAATATTTCAATCAAGACTTTATATGTTATAAATTACACACACACACACACACACACACACACACACACACACACACACACACACACACACACACACACACACACACACACACACACACACACACACACACACACACACACACACACACACTATATATATATATATATATATATATATATATATATAATAATTCTTAGATTAATATTTTCTTATAAGTATTCAATACTATGCCTTTTCGTGATTGGATCGAATTGGAAAGTGATCCAGGTAAAGTGAGTTACACATATATTTTTAAACCAAATATTTTTTGAAAATTGTTTTGATTATAATTGCACGGTTATTTTGTGGGTTTTTTCCTGGGTTTATTGTTGTTTTCATTCTGATTTCAGGTTTGTTTACATTGTTGGTTTATGATTTTGGTGTGAAAAATGTGGAAGTTGAGGAAGTTTATGATTTATCTAAATCTATGGAAAAGTGAGTTTTTTAAATTGAAAATATGCTTTTATTTTGAAGTACTCGTATGTTTTCTAAAATATAATTATGATTTCTCTTTATTTCTTAATATTTTTTGTCTTTGTTTCTGTTATTTTAAGTTATAATTTAAATATAGTGTTATCATTATCATTATCATATTTACACTGTTGGTGTTTTTGTACATTAATTTACAAAATTTAACTGTTATTCAAATCTATGTCATTTGAATATAATATACAAATAAGATTATTTGTTGACTAATTAAAATATGTCTTTAAATTTAGCTCAGTCTTTATTTTATGATAATAGCAACTTAAATGCAATAATACTAGAAACACAGATGTAATAAAATTAGTAACAAATGTGTATCAATATTAAAAAATGAATGTAATGACTATAAAAACTTTAATGAAATAATATAAGTAGCATTAATGTAATCAGATTAGTTGTTATTTATATAAATTATTTGTATAATTAATTTTTACATTATTAACATAAATATGAAAGTCATAGTTTCAGTTTGACTAAAATTTATTTGATATTTTAAAAGCTTTTGATATATTTAGTTATAAGGATTATTTAATTATATAAAACATTTTTTAAGTGAAACATTTTAAAAATTTCGGTAGTTATTATACATTTAAATATTTTTGTAAACATTACACAAAGATAATCTTGCACAAATCAATTGCTTACAATCAGTTCATCTTTATCTGAACCTTATTGTTAAAATTGTCCTATTAAATTTACACTAATTAATAGATTTCTCATTTTTATACTGAAACTCTTTGAAATTAAACGTGCGTGAATTAATTATTAAGTCTGTAGATCGCAGCATATATTTTAAAAACTTCACACTAACATGAAGACGACAAGCTTCGACTAAAACTACAAATTTTTTTTTTTGGTATACGTTCATTGTTTTGTTCTAATCAAAAAAATTCAACCCAAATATTTTTTATAAACATTCTCTTTAATATGAACACAACTTGTCTTGGCACTTTGGGATCCCTTTAATAAAGTTATTTATATTTATTATTTTGCTGTGTTATGTTGGCTTATGTTTTTATGCAAAATTTAATGTTTTTGTTTTTGTTTATAATAGAACACAAACAAAAACAGTTTGATTAAAATGATTGGGGTCATTTTAGATTTTATTAAAATTTTTTGTTAAAATTTAACTTGAAGTTTTTATTCTGAAATTCTAAGCCTCAAATTTGACCTATAAATGTTTATTGAATAGTTTGCAGTTTCAAATATCTTAAATATTGGTCACAGCTAAAAATCTTTTTTTCTGCCAGTCTGTATGAAATTTTTTATTTTCACAAATCTTTTAAGGAAAAAAAACATTTTATTTTAACTGTGATTTTTCTAGCTTTTAGTTCATAAGCCAGTTACCAACATGTTACCAGTTACCAACAGATGCTGTCTGTATGATAGTTTTGTATATATGTTCATGGCGAGTTCATGCAAGTTAAAAAAAAATATGTTCATACAAGTTAAAAAAAAGGATTTAGAAAGAAAAGCTAGAAGAATTGAAAAGAGTTAACATTAAGCTAAATTAGTGAGGTTAAACTAATTATAATTATGAGGATTTTTAGTAAAATACAAACAAAAAATTGGTGTAAAAAATAATAAACCAGAAATATCCTTTATACAAAGAATTATCTGGTTTTTTATATTTTATTATTGTGAATATAATATATGCAATAAGATTATTTAATGCAGAGTATTACTGGTTTTAGTTTAGAAAATAATACAAAATTTTACAATTTTATATTATAAAATCTGTAAAACTTAATCAGAATACAATTAACAGAATTAAATTATATTTAGGAAAAATTACATATTATTAGTTAAATTTATGGTTAAATGTTTGGAAGATTTTTTGTTGATGATTTGTTTTTGATGATTTGGTGTTGGTTAAATTTGTCTTGAATATAAGGTTTAGGGCTGTTCAGTATGCTAATTTGTTTTCAGAACATAGCTAATTGAAGTTTTTCCCATTCAACTATCATATTGTGGTTCAAAAATATTTTTTACTAAATTTAATTATTTGCCCTGAAGGTCGCTCAAAGCCCCTAAACATTTGACAGGTCCCTAATATTATTGAAAAAAAAATTATTTAAAAATATGTCAACTTGGTACTCAAAAGAAGCAAAATCATTTAAAAATTTCAAAAACAAAAAGTATTTTTTATAAAAAAAACAATATTAGGTTTTTTTGAATAAAAACTATGGTTTTTAAACGAAAAATGAAAAAAAGGTAATATTCACAACATTTTTAATGATAAGTTTTTTTAAGTTGTTTTTTATAAAAAACGACTCTAATTTTTAAAATTTTTATAAAATTTTGCTTCTTTTGAGTACCAAGTTGACACATTTTTAAATAATTTTTTTTTTAATAATATTAAGGACCTGTCAAATGTTTAGGGGCTTTGAGCGACCTTCAGGGCAAATAATAAAATTTAGTAAAAAATATTTTTGAACCACAATATGATAGTTAAATGGGGAAAACTTCAATTAGCTATGTTCTGAAAACAAATTAGCATACTGAACAGCCCTAATAAGGTTACATACAAATTTTTAAAGCCAACTGGCTCTTTAGAAAACAAGCGTGCAGTTTTTGCACTTTACATTTAAATTTTTAAATGTAAAGTGTTTTTTAGGGTGTTATTTTCCACTAACAATTTATACAAGTCAAGAAAAAATGCAGATAAGAATATGACAAAAATAAAAACATTTTATGATATAAAATTATTTTTGTTACTTGTTGGCCAGTATATTTAGGAAACACTTTATTATTTGCGCTAGAAATATGGACAGTTTTGAAATTTATTTTTCAAATGTTTTTGATAAACTTGACTATTCCTATCAATGCACAGGAAAGCGAGAAAACAAATTGCTATTTGTTTGTTAAAATTTTTTTTATATTTTCTAACAAGTTTTTTATGTAAAAAAAATAAAGTCATTATTACTATTATTATTTATATTTAAATATAAAATATTTGGTTGTTTTCACTACCCCTTATTGAAATAGTCTGCACTTTTGTTTGATTCTCTAAATTGTGCATTTCAACCCAATAGTTTATTTCCTGATTAAGTATTGTTATTGACGATGCTCCAGAAGCTTGTGAGCTAGTGCATTGTTAATTTACTGAACTTTTTAAATGAAATTTTTAGGGAGCCTATTTAAAATTTTTTTTAAAATTTATAAATACATTTTTTCAAACAGAGCAATCGTTATGTTAATTATCTCTTGTAAGTTGTATTAACATTGAAAACTGGGCAATATAAAAGAAAGAAAGACATGGAAAAGAAATTCAGACATGCATTAGATGCAATAAAAGAAACTCAGGCATGCATTAAATGCAGTAAATACATTTATTAAAGAAACCATTTTATTCTTTTATTTAAATTATTCAGTAATTTTAAAATTTATTAATCAAGTAATATATTTTACAAGTAAATAGAAATTTATTTTCTTATTTTCCTATCATATTAGTATTAAAAAAAAAAACATCAAATATAGCGAAAACATTTTTATAAGTGAAAGACGTCAAAATGAATAAACATAGGAAAAAAAATTAGCAAAATTTCTCCTAGTTCTAGCATACATAGCAAATTAATTAATTTCTTTATTATAACCACTGATAAAAATCATGAATAAGTTGCATATCAAAACTTGCAATTTTTGTTATATTGTTATAAAAGATATGTTTTTTCAGCAACTTGTATAGAATTCGGTAGCTAAAAATAACAACAACTCAAAAAAAAAAAAAAGAGTACAAAAGTTTATAAAAATTTTATAAAAAAAAAATTGTTTTTTATAAATTTTTTTTGTGTCACTCTACATTTGGCTCCTGTAATGTTGCAATTCTATTTTACTTTTACAGTGTTTGATTATTGATCCCCTATCTGTTACTACATTTGTTGCAAGAAAAACACATTGATAAAAAAAACAAACTGTTAAATTTCTTTTTGATCAATGTATTTTTGATTTTTAGTTTTAAACATTCTAAAATTTAGTGCTTTATGTGTTCATTTAGAATGGTATATGGTCTAATATTTTTATATGTTTATTTAGAAAGTTATATGGTCTAATATTTTTATATGTTCATTTAAAAAGGTTTATGGTCTAATGTTTTTATATGTTCATTTAAAAAGGTTTATGGTCTAATATTTTTATATGTTCATTTAGAAAGGTATATGGTCTAATATTTTTATAAATAAATTAAGAAAGGTATATGGTCTAATGTTTTTCTATGTTCATTTAGAAAGGTATATGGTCTTATATTTTTGTTCAAGTGGACAGAAGAACGTAAGTCCAGAAGGAAAGCTGCAGTTATTGAAGAAAACTTCGTTTTTGATGACAGTTTCATTGAAGATATGTTCTTTGCCCAGCAGGTAAAGAATACAAATATAGATAAAGAGTTTTATCTGAATTAAGTAAAAAACACTAAAGATAAGCTGAATTTAAGTTACATAACACTACTATCATGCGCCATTATTTATTTATTTTTTTACCTTTTAATTCTTATAAATTACTTTGCTTGAATTTTAATAATTTTTATTCTATTTGATTTTAGGTTATTCCGAATTCTTGTGCATCTCATGCTTTGCTTAGCGTATTATTAAATATTCCAGACCTCAATCTTGGTCATACATTGAAACAACTTCGAGATTCAACAAAAGGGTTTGATTCTGAGGTCAGTTTAAAAGTTTACTAAATAATGTTTGCTATAGTCATCATAGATTTTGTATGATTATAGCAATCATATATTATTTGCATTCTTGTTGTATTATTTTTATATTCATAATCTGTATTGTTGGTAATAAAAATACATCGATTATCAAAGGAAATATAGATTTATATTATAACCAGGAAAGTCTTAGCCACCTTACATTTAAAATTTATGTTTATATTTTAGACAAAAGGACTTGCTATCAGCAATTTTAGAAACATTGGAATTGCTCATAATAATCATGGAAGGTATTGTGGAATTATAAAAATGTTTTTAATTCTTTGATACAAATTTCAACCCATTTAAAACCTTTTTAAAAGACATCAAACAAATTTAATATCTATAACTTTCCCTTTAATATTGCTATGTTTACTTTAAGTCCAGATTTTCGTAAACTTGAAAGAATGAAAAGTGTGTCTACTGCGACTCGTTCCATGGAAGCATTCCATTTCGTCAGTTATATACCTTACAAAGGAAGGCTTCTTGAACTTGATGGACTCAAACCATACCCTATAGATCATGGTATTTACTGCTTTTTTGCCTTGAAAAAAATTAAAAAATTTTTGAATAGTTTATTTTCCAATTTTTTTATTACAAAGGTCCTTGGAGTTCTGAGGAAAATTGGACTGATAAAGCTCGTCAAGTTATACAAGATAGAATCCAATTAGCAACTGGAGGGTATAATACATAAAATGTTTTTTTAAGATATTTTGTTTTTAAAATTTTATACTAGGAAAAGTATTCAATAATATATTTTATATTTTATGTTTTCACTATATGTGTAAATATCACTATATGTGTAAATATCATCTTATGTAGATAAAATTATTTTTTATTTTTTCAGAATTAAGTATTCTAAAATACTTATTTATTTTTTCACTGCCAAGTTTATTTAATGAATGATTTTTTTGATAGATTAGTTTGTTTGACAGAATTTATCTAATAATTTGTTGATAAGTTAACAGCTGAGCATTCAGTTCTATACTTTGTTTTTTAATAAATTTTTTTAGAGAAGTATTTTAACTAGAGCTACCCATTTAAACATTTTAGATTTGAATGTTTAAACCTTTTGCTAATTTTTTAACATTTAGGTTTGAATTTATTCCTTCTATAAGATAAAATTTTCAGAGTTTTCAAAAAAGTGCTTTTTTGGTCTATATTTAGTAATTTATTTTTATATATCTTTGGTCTATATTTAGTACAATTTAAACAAAGGTGTTGTTGCTTCATATCTGATAAAGGTACCAATATAGGTACCAATATTGACAAATGAATTTCAAGAACCTGTGACAAAAGTTAGAATAATTGTAAAAATATTTAGTAGATCACCTGTAGATTGCTTAATCATGATTCACAGTCAAATATTGTTAAAACATTTGGCAAAGAAAAAGATATATGACTTAAGGACAAGGTAGAGCAGCTCAATCGCCCTTAGTTGAAATGTTTTTTTGGAAGTTTAAACAGAAAGTTTAAAAGTTTTGATTTGCAAAAACATTTTCTTTTCCGAAGATGAACTTGTTAAAGTTAGTAATCATTGTGTTGCTTTAAAGCCATTCAAGCTAGTAATTAAAGCACTTTCCAAATGAGTTGCTTATTTCTTATTTTCTGAATTCAATTTATCAGGAAAAAGTTGAATGAAACAAACACACCATTTAGGCAGTTCATAAAACAGTGCTTAAAAACAGAGTTGTTGAAAGTATTCTTGATTTAATACATTTAATGAAGTATTTGGTAAACTTAGATGTTTTAAATAAAGATAATCAGTTAGCAAAAAAATTAAAAGAAACATTTTAGCAATATAGTGGAACAAAAATTAAGCACAAAAATTGGTGACACGCCATTATATGATCAGACAAAAAATATTTTGCTTTGGCGATTTGACCACGGCTATTTCGAAAAATATTAAAAAAATATGTTGAATGTAAAATGTTCTGAATTGTATCTTAGAGAAATAAATGACATGAAAACTTTTATTTTTACTAATGTTTTTATTTTATTTTAAAAATATTTTGCTTTGACGATTTGACCACGGCTATTTAGCAAAACGCATTTAAATAAAGTAACAATTAACTGATAATGACTTTTGTTTAAAGTATCGTTGTAAGTTTTATTTAATTTTTTAACTTATCATATAAGTATTATATTATGTTATGTAAAATATTTATGTACATAATTTGTATATTATGTGTAGTGGTGTAGTGGTGGTAGAGCATTTTTTATAATTGAGCGTTATTAAAAAATAAAAAGTTAATTTGTTTTTATAAACAACGACTTTCTTAGATAACGAAAGTCTCTTTAATCAGGCTTGGACAGGCATGCTGTCGCACTCTGCAACTGACCATTTATTATAATTTTCTTTCTTTACAATTTGACCACAGCTATTTGAAGGTTTTAACAATATGTAGTTATTGTAAAACCTTCAAACAAAAAATAAAATAATATATAAAATGCAATAAAAACATCGTTATGTTATAAATAACAATTAATTGTAATCTTGTCTAACATTTTCATTTTATGCGAAGGCTTTAATAAAAAATTATAATAATCATATATAATAAACGCATTTTGTGTAAATTAAATTTATAATAATCATATATAATAAACGCATTTTGTGTAAATTTAATCATATATAATAAACGCATTTAGTGTAAATTAAAATTAAATATGTAAATTTTTTTTAATAGGCATGTATTTTTTATGATACATTTAAACATTTGAAACATAATCTTATGAAAAAAATCTTTCATAAGATTATTATTTATAAATACTTGAAATTATGAATAAGTTTAATTAAAATCTATTATTTCAAACGTAATTAAAAACCTAACAAAAAGTAAGTACTTTGAGTTTAAGTTTTTTGATTTTTTTTTTAAAGCTTATATATTTTCTTTTTCGTACGGAATTGTCTTTTATTTCAGTTTTAAATTTTAAATTAAATTTTTTCATAGTTTCCGGATTTAATAAAAAGACTTAAAAACACTAAACTGTTTAAATCATCAAAACATCTAAACAGTCGTGGTCAAGTAGTTAATAAAAAAAATCCTTTACCTGGTCAGCAATAGCGTTCGATCACATGACATTCCTGTCCAAGCCTGTTTTGTGAACTTTGTATAAGAATCATTAAAGCTAGTACACTTAGGATGATTAAAAAAATTTAGTTGAATAAAAAATGACTAATGTTTTTAAAAACTCATATATATATATATATATATATATATATATATATATATATATATATATATATATATATATATATATATATATATATATATATATATATAAATATATATATATATATATATATATATATATATATATATATATATATATATATATATATATATATATACATATATATATATATATATATATATATATAAATTTTCGTTTTTGTTAAGATTTCTTTTCTTTTTTAAAATAATTTTTTTTAGTTGTTTAGACAAGTTTTTCAGCATGATTTTAAATTTTGAAAAGATATGGTCAAATTTTCAAAACAAAATATAATTTTTGTGGTCATATAATGACATGCGATTGCATGCCTTCCTGTGGAAACCTGCAAGTAAATATTATCATCACTTAAATTAGTTTTTTAACCTAATAAAAAACTAAGCAGCTAAAAACTAACATTTTCTGCTGCTATGTGAGATTTGAGACAACATGATATGAAAAATGTCTAAAAAATTAGTCTTTTTTTATTGCTTTCAAGTACAAGTAAGTTTTTTTATTGCTTTCAAGTTTTTTTATAAAAATTCTAATTTAGTTCTTGCTAAAGAATGATAATTTTTGAATGATATAGTATTAATTTTTTTTTGTCAAAAAAAGATTTTTGGTTGATGAAAAGAATTTTTTTTAAACTAAAATGTGATTAAACAAAAAATAAACCAATAAAAATCAGTTTTAATATAAATAGTGTTTTACTAAATACTCTTACTATGCATATTTTAGTAAAAAAAGAAAACAAAACAAAATATGAAAGTTTTTCTCCAAAATAGTTTGAACATTTTTAAGTTAAAACTTTAAAAAAAAAAAAAATTGAGTTGGCAGCCCTAATAGTAAAATTGTTTTTTTATTTTGACTTATTTGTAAAATACTTTGGTTGTATCTTTCTTTTTGTTATTAGGGAACTGTCTCATGATATTCGGTATAATCTATTAGCAGTTGTTCCTGAGCAACGTGAGATTCTTAAAGAAAAACTAGCAGTTCTCTCTCACAACAAAAAGGTTCTAATTGAACTTTTCAAAAACCTTGCTTCTAAGGAATCTTTTGTGAGTGAGTTGCCAAGTCCAAGTGCTATGTTGAAGGACTACCCCCCGTACCATGTAGATTTCCCTAAAATTGAGGTTGAATCATCTTCAACACATAGCCATTCATCATCAACCGTTCAAGGGCCTGAATGTGGTAGTAATGTTTATTCTGACAGTGAAGACAGTTCTGTTGACACTTATCGGACAAAATCTCTTTTGAGAGGCACTTCAAAACCTGTTATTTATATTTATGGTGGTAGTGGTGCAGACACAGTTAATGGTGGTGTTAATGGTGTTGAAACAGCGGGTACTCATTTAAAAAATAATACAGAAACAAGTTTAAAACGAACAATTATAGATTCCTCAAATGATACTTGTGATAGTGGAATTAAAAAGCAAAAACAAATACTTAACGAAAGCATATTGGACTCTGTTGATAATAATAACAAGTTGCTTACTGAAAACACATGTTCACTAATAAATAAAAATTTTATAATAAAAAAAGAAGAACTTCAGGACAATAATGAAATAAATAAATTAAAAATTGAAAATGAAACAAGTAATGAAGTGAATGAAAATGAGAAAAAAGGTAAACAATATATTTTAGTTAAAAAAATTTTTTATTTTAATTTCTTTTAATTTTTTTTTAATTTAATATGAATATCTATTTAGATTCAGCTGGACTTGGTATTGAAATTATTGCAGATGATGCTGACATAACATCACTTCTTGATCAAAATAAAGTTGAAAGGTTATCTCTAGATCATTTAATGAAATACCAGGATAAAATAAAATTACAAGTATTTTTTTATTTTTTCATTTATAAGATGTTTTTAACTTATGTTTTTGTTTTAAGTTAACCATGTGTTTTAAGTTAACCTATGTTTAGATAAAAATGTTTTAGGTAAAGATATGTTTTAAGTAAACCTATGTTTAAGGAAATCTAAATTTTAGGAAATTAATTTTTGATATATCCTTATAGCATATAATAATTCTAGTAAACAGCCGGGGTTGAAATTTGACCAGGGCTGAGGCGGGGTTTGATAAAATAGGCTGGGACTGGGTTTGTGACCGGGGTTGCATAAACATTTATACAATATAAAGTATATTTTTTTAAATTCAAAATTCATGTTATTTTTTGTATATACATGCATATATAAACATCATTATTATTATTATAATCATCATTATTATCATGATCATGATAATGATAATGATCATCATCATTATCATCATGATCATGATCATTATCACCATTATAATCATGATCATCATCATCATCAACAGCATAAAATAGGAATGCTAAAGCCTGGTGATGATGATCATGATCATCATCACGATCATCAGCCAAATCTTTAACCTTTCTCTTTTATGCTGTTTCTCTAATATAAAAAATCTAGAGCTTTTTTTTTTATTAACTAAACTCATTCAAACAATATGTAAGGCACTCTCTTCAAGTTTTCTTCTACCACTACAATTTTCTACTGAAGCTAGTACCTCTCTACATGCTGATGCCTAAATTACTTTAATCTTTTCTAACAAACATTGTTTGATACAATGTTTTTTCGAATCTGTTTAAGATTATGCCTTCTTTTTTTGTCTTGCTTGAGTTACACCACACATCCATCTGATCGTCTTCTTTTTTGGCAAATACTAATACATATAAATACACATAAATACTAAAGTTTATATAACAATAAGAGGATATTGTATGTCTGCATCTAAATAAATAGCAAACAGATTTAGAAGCTTCTATATTTAGAAGCTTCATTACTTCCCTTCAACTTTAAGTTGAAGAGAAGCAATATAAGCTTCCAAATATTTATTCCAGAAGGAATAGAAGCTTCCAAGATGCACTTTATGCATACATATTATGGATATAAACATATCTGTTTGCTATTTATTTAGATGCAGGCATAAAGTATTCTTTTATTGTAATATAAACTTTAGTATTTATATGGATTAGTATTTGCCAAAAGAGAAGACGACAAAAAAATGTGGAGTAGATGAGAAGCCTCATTCTACTCCACATTTTTCACCATCTTAAGCAGTTGCTTTATTAAACATTAATCATTTTTTTCATTTTTTACAAGAATATCTCTCTTAAAAACAAATGTCCTTTTATTATTGCAAAAAGCTAATGTAAAAAAGTCCTGTTTGATGTTAATCTCTGTTATTCTCAGTTTACTAAATCTTGTATTTTATCTCAGATGTTAGGTTTCAGAGACTTTTGGTTAGTCTTCAACAGTGTCATTAATTAAAGTAAGTCTAACATTTAATTTCTAGTTCATGTGTCTGATCTTTTTACTTCTCCTTAGAATAAAGCAGAGTTATTTGCAAAGAAATCTTATTCTAATTTGACTTGTGGATATAATGACCGTACTCTTCCTGACAGTCAAACAGATTAACCCATTGTTATCTAAATCACTCTGGCTTCCAATGCTAAAGTTAATTCTTAATTTAACACTTCTACAGTTTGTGCTCCAAAATAGATTTCCATCATTGTCTTTAAAAAGTGTTCTCCAGAACTCTCTTCAACTATTGCTAAACTTTTCTAAAGTGCTAAATAAGTGGTTCCAATTTTTCAAAACTCTAGAAAACACTTTGACCTCTCCAACTATCCTACAATTATCATTTACTATGTTATTAGTTTCTTTATATAAAAGTTTTGAGGTTATTAAATGATTTTTTTCTAACTGCAGTAGTAAAGTTATTCTTGAAGGCCTATCATCTTCTTTATTCCAAGTAACTTTAAGGGTTAACTGCATCCTTTTACTGTATCTGCCTCTTCATGCTACAAAAACTTTTATTAATCCAGTTTTTTTCCTTGCACATCAAAAAAATTTATAACTATTAGCCATCTTCATTTTTTTATTTTATATGCAACCTACAACTTTTAAAGTCTTCAGTTAACCATTTCCTAGTATTTTTACTTGTTTTCTATTTTAAAGTAATTCATAACTTAATAGTGGTTACTTGCAATCTTGTTGTTATGGTTACTTGCAATCTTGTTGGAATTAAATGAGAGTTTGAAAATATATAAATTTATGCCAGTATTTAATAAATAGTAAATGTAAGCATAAAATTTTAATATATAAAAGTATTATAAATTTTTTTTCTAACCACGGCTATCAACCTCTGCTAAATCTTATAGTTTAGCCGGGGCCGGGTTTATAGCTTATTATTATTTATAGTCTTGAAAATGGTTAATTTGATGCGGTTGTTTTTCGTATTAAAGTTGTATAGGTCTTCTTCCACTTTTAGCTTTCTGATCCAGTGGTTTATTTTGATCGTGACCATTCATATATCTATAAATTGTAGGCCTAATATATGTAGTGAAGGCTTTTACTAAGATACTAGGATTAAAATTTAAAGAGTTAAAACATTTTAAAATAAGGTTTGCTCTGGTATTAGCTGCATGGATAAACTTTAAAATATTTTTTTTTAGTTAAGTTAAGAATCCAGAGTTACATTGAGATCTTTTGGATTAGAAAACCAAGTTAAAATATAATCTTTTAAGTTATTGTTAAAATTGATACATTTTTTCAATGAAGCAGATGTAATCCTATGAACAAAACATTTTCTGTAAGAAATAGGTAGTTGTCATGTTTCTGACCAAAGTACAATGTTATCAAGAGCATTAACTAAGTGATTACTAAGATGTGTGTTGCAAAATCTGTAACTTGGTATCATAACCATAAAGTTTTAAAGAGCAATCAAGATTGTAGTGGTATAATTGTTGTAAGAATAATGTTGGACTGAACAGACTACCATGAGGAACACTGCTAACAATGAGAGTTAAGGTTGATAACGAACTTCAAACCTTAACTTGTTGGCACTTGTTGGTAAGAAATGCGGTAATCCAATTTAATAAATTACCTCTTATGCTACACAGAGCATAAAATAAAGTGCAATTGTAAAGATTGAATATTGACTCCAACTTTAAACTTCATCCTGAACAACATGTTGATAATTTTTGCAAAATCTCCTAAAATTAAGTATTCGTTTTGGCTAATAATTTAGGATGAGATACAGAATCAAATGCTTTTTGAAAGTCAATTTAGACAACATCTGTTGTTAGATCTAAATATTTTCTACAATCTGTTTCACCTTCAGCAGGTTCATCAAGAAGAATGTTTTTACATCAAAAAGTTCAATTCATAGAAAAAGTATTATTATTAAAGATAAATAATAGGAAGTTAGAAATTTTTATAATTAATTACTGTAGTTAGTTTGTAAACAGGAAGTTATATCAACATCATTAAAATCAAAAAATTAGTTATATAAAGAAATTTGGATAGTTTGATCATTTGATTTTAAAGTTTTTTAAAAAGGTACTTATTTTCATGTCTGCATTTAGAAATTAATTCAGATTTTTCTTTAGTAAATTTTCTTGATCCTTATGAGTGATATAGTTTTATTTATCACCCATAAAGGTAATATATATATATACAACCCTCAGAATTAGGAAAAATGAAGTCAGCAATAATTTGCCGACATCAATCTTTTTGAGGTCGGCATCAGGTCGGCAAAAATTATTTGTTACAAAGGTCTGACCATCAAAAATAGAAACGAGGTCGGCAATTTTTTGCAAACCTCAAACAATATAAGGTCGGCAGTAAGGTCAGCATCGCCGAATGCTGATGCTGACCTTATAGTTTCAAATTTTCTTGCAAACATAGCATTGGAAATATTAACATAGGCAGGTTCAGTTTTTAGAATAGACCAGTTTAATTTAAAATTTTTATTGTTATTATATATATATATATATATATATATATATATATATATATATATATATATATATATATATATATATATATATATATATATATATATATATATATATATAAATATATATATATATATTTGACATCTGAAAAAAATTGTTTTTTTTTGGTTTTATTACTTAAAAAATTAAGTTATTTAACAAAAACTGAAAAAAATGCATTTTTTCATGTTTTTTTATGATAATTTTTATATATAAGTTTAAATTTTTTTAAAATAAATATCATTTTTGAAATTTTTGTATAATTTCGCTTCATTTGAGTACTAGGTTTACATATTTAAAAAAACTTTTTTTTGAAAGTATTAGGGACCCCAGGGTCTTGAGGGACCCCTTAAATATTTTTTATTCAAAAAAATGTTAAACCTAGTGTTTTTGTATTTGATAGAACACATTTAAGGGGTGGGAGCAGTTTTTTCTCAAAATAGTTGTTTTAAAAGCCACCCTAATATATATATATATATATATATATATATATATATATATATATATATATATATATATATATATATATATATATATATATATATATATATGTATAAACTAATTTAAAACATCAGATAATACGAATTCTCTCAATACTAAACAATTTATTTGAAATTTTCGCCGGATTATAGGCACCGGCATCATCAGCATATAATATAATATTATATTATATGCTGATGATGCCGGTGCCTATAATCCGGCGAAAATTTCAAATAAATTATTTAGTATTGAGAGAATTCATATTATCTGATGTTTTAAATTAGTTTATATATATATATATATATATATATATATATATATATATATATATATATATATATATATATATATATATATATATATATATATATATATATATATATATATATATATATATATATATATATATATATATATATATATATATATATATATAATTCGTATTATCTGATGTTTTAAATTAGTTTATATATATATAACTCAACATTTAAATCATATATATATATATATATATCAAGCCTTCCCAGGTAAGGCGTGCGGGTTTTTTTCTCGTACGACCACGAAAACATTTTTCAAGTTAGAGAACGTGATCACGGATTTGCGCAAGTTATATTATATGCGTTACTGAAAAACTGTTTTAAATTTAATAACTACATGAGAAATTAAAGTAAACTTATATAGAAAACAATAATAATAGTTTAAATAATTTGTGTGTTGTTTTTATTTTTTCTTTGTGGTTATTATTATCGGCAACAAAATTCATTAAGTCAAACCAAAAAAAAAAAAAAAAGGTTTTAGGCGTTAAAAAGGATGACTTTCCCATATTAATATTATTATTTCCCATATTCCCATGAAGAGAAAAGAGAAAATATGTATCGTCATCTGTTTGTAAAATATATTTGTATAATTATAATGTAACAAGTTTATATCAAGAGTTAAATTATACGATCGCGTTTGCAAACTCTGGTAAAATATTAGGTCTTTAAAATTTTAGTTCATGCAAAGCTGTGTACTTTGTTTTTAAGGAGCAAATTACTATCTTCTATCGAGAAAGTTTTCTATCAAAAAACAAAACAAAAACAATAAACTTACGACTACAAAAGTAATAACACTTTAGTCACTAACTGCCTTATAAAAGTAATACAACTATAATAGTGTTATTACATTTATAAAGCACTTATTACTTTTAAAGTTCATTCTTTGTTCAAACAACATTATTAATTCCAAACATTTATTAAAGTAGAAAAGCATCTAGAAAAAATAAAGCGGATATTCAAATATTATTTAAAATTTCAGGAACATTCACATATCACTTAAACAACGTTATAAAAAAGTACTTTTTATGTTGCTTGAACAAAGAATAAATTTTAAAAGTTATAAGTGCGTTATAAAAGTAATAACACTATTATAGTGTTATTACTTTTGTAATGCAGTTAGTGACTAGAGTGTTATTACTTTTGTAATCGTAAGTTTATAGTTTTATTTTTTATTTTTTCGCTAAAAAATTTAAGTTGATTCTCCCCTTAAAAACAAAGAACACGGTTTTGTATAAACTAAAATTTTGAATACTAGAAATTTTTCCAGATTTTGCGTTTTGCATTCGGTTAATTCAACCCTTGTTGTTACATTAAAATTATACAAATAATTTTTACAAACACATTGCAATTTGTATTTTTGCTATCCTCTTAAAAAAAAGTTAAGAAAAGGAAAATCATTCTTTTTATTGTAGACTTCAAACTGTTTTTTTTTGCTTTGCCTTATCTAATTTTGTTGCTGAATGTAACTCTGAAGAAACAAAAATAAAAACAGTACACAAATTATTTAAATTATTAATTTGTTTTTATTTTTTTCCATTTCAATCTCTTTTTATTTTGTTAGTTTTGTTTTTTTGTTTTGATACTTTTTCAGCATTATTATAAAACTTGCAAACGGCCATGTTCACGTTTTTTAAAATATAATCGCGTGTGGTCATACGAGACGAAAAACCGCACGCCTTTCCTGGGAAGACTTGATATATACATATATATATATATATATATATATATATATATATATATATATATATATATATATATATATATATATATATATATATATATATATATATATATATATATATATAACAATATATATTGTTGCAGAGCATAATGTAATACTATAATAGCTATAACATAGTTTGTTAAAGAATTCCAGTTTTTAATTTAATTTCTTTTAAGTTCAATTCTTTTACTATGTCCACATATGTTTGATGAAGGACCGTTGCTTGTTAGTGAAAAAATTTAGGAAGGAAAACCGAAAAAATAATTGCAATAAAAATGATAAATAAAATTTAAATATTGAACAATATTTAGTAATATTTTGAAATAAATTTGACAGTTATGTTAAACCCAAGCATCAACTTTAATTTAAATAAATTTAATTATATTTTTTAAATAAAAATAACATCATATATTTTTTAAATCTAAATTAAGTTATATATGTTTTTTTTTATCAGAAAATATATATTTTTATTAAATTAGTTTTAAATTAAATCATATATTTTTTATCAGAATTAAATTATAATATTCTACTTCTTTTGCTTTTGTTTTTTAACTTGTTGCGTTGAATTGCGAAAATCCAGGAATTTGATCTTTTCTTCAAGCTTAAAGTGTTAGCGTTTTTCAAGCATAAACAATCAATTATTAAAAAAAATTATAAATAAATATAAACAAAATATAAACAAATTTTTAATTTTAATAGAGTATTTTTCATTGGTAAATAACGCTTATATCTAACATAATTATCATTCAAACTTTTGTAACAAATGTTTTTACACAATTGTCATTCAAAATTTAATGTGGTTTTTTTGAAAATTACTTACTTCTTTTATCTTACTGCTTATAGATTAATTTAAAAGTTAAAAAACGATAAAAAGTCGTTTAACCAAAATCCCTTACTGCTTACATAAAATCGCTTAAGGCTTATGTAAATCGATCTACTCGTAATGCTTTAAAGCAAGGCCTTTAATAGTATACTTGTATAGTATATTTTTAATACCAATGTGCATAATTTTACATTTTTCTTTATTGAGTTTCATTTAAAAAGCCATTTATTATTACCACAAACAATATTTATTTTATAGGATGTTCAAAAAAGCATGCAAGATTTAGATGAACTGTACAAAGGCTTTCAGCTATCATATAAAGAAGAACTGATTAAAGTTGAGAAATACAAGGTTATTATTTTCAATTTTTTTTAGCTAAAATTTTTTATAAATTAAATTCATTATAGCTGACACTATGATTAAGAAGATTTTTTCAACATCCTTCCTCCTTCCTTCTTCCTCCTTCCTTCCTTTTCAAATAAAACATTTATCTATAAGGTTCATGGCTTAGTTTTGTAAAACTATTAAATCAAAACTATAAATAGTTATTTTAACATAAACGACCCATTTATTGCTTTTTGTATCTAATCAGCAATACTAAGTTGCTGTGCTCAGTAGTACTCTAGTAGCTGCAGTAGTTTCAGTAGCTTAGTTTTTTAAAATTTTACTAAAAAGTTAAAATTGAAATTTTATATCTTTTTTATTTTTTATAAAAAAAGTTTAATCAAAAATAGTTTGGGAACAATTATAATTGAAAAATGTGACAACAAATTTTTTTTTTTTCATATTTATTAGTAAATAAGTATTTCTCCTGGAAATGATAAATAAAATAACACTTTTTTATAAATTTTCATTTTTTCTTTTTAAAATAAATCTTAAATTAAAAATGTTTTTCTGAACATCTTTTTTTTTCTTTGTTTCTATTACTTATTCTCTTTTAATTTTTTTTTCAATGGAATGGCTTCATATTTTTCTGTGGGCTTTCATAGCTCAGTCTAGTTGAAGTACTGCCGATTACCTGCTTAAAATATAACAAAAATATCTTTTATTAAATTTATTATTTTAATCTCTTTTGAACTGATACACTATTGTTAGTATTCATTGCTGTTTTTTGACAGCCAAAAATGCGACAGTTTGCAACATTTTTTGTTCTATTTTTTGACAATCAAAAGTTTAACAATTCACTCCTTAAGACATTATTTCCCCGCACTACAATGATGTAATATTTGAAAGGTTTAAACATCCCACTTTCTGCATAATGGAAGCAAAGTTTATTCTCCATATTATTTATTGAAAAAAATACTATTAGGTTTAAATATCTGTGATTTTTTATTTATGTCCCCTCACATCTAACGTGAAACTAAATTTCATTCCTTTTGACCAGAGCTGAGTGAATTTGGTTATGACCATATCTCTGATTATGTTTGCATATTTGAATTCCATATTTCAAATTGTTGTTGTTGACTTTGAAACAACAGACCCTCAGGTTTCTAACAGTTTTCTCAATTTAGCCGTTGTGAAAGAGCTGCTAGAGGGCAGACTGTCATGGCAGTTAATCTAAAATATTGGAATCAAATCCAATGATGATTCTGTATCTTTGGTCTATTTTCTTCGTATCAAATTGATTTTATGATTCGTTCTTGATGTATATGGATTCCATTGTTACTGCCACCATGTGATTTTATCTTGCATTTTTTACATTTTGCAAATTTATTTTCAATATCATGTAAAAAATAAAACCACACAGAATTTTGTACTTTGTGTACTTTTTTCTACATGTTGTGTGTTTTCAGATAATAAAGTAGTATAAATCTATCATAAAATATTGATTATTGGTTCTTAATTTAAAACATAAAAGGTGTTTGTTATTGAATATGATTATAATTATAAAGCATTATGCAAAATACTAAATGTAATTTACAGCATAAATAATGTTTTTTAATCTGTTATCTAAAATAAGTAATAAAGTCATAATTGAGAGTCTCATTCAGAGTTTAAAAATAATGTTTCAAATGTTTCAATGAGATTTTTTTTTCTTTTTTCTCATTTTGAAATGTATCAAATATTAAGCAACCAAGGTTATATATGACCTGGGCCGGGTTGGTTAAAATATAGCTGGGCTGAGGCTGGGTTTGTGACCAAGGCTGCATAAACATTTATATATCCTAAAGTAGTTTTTTTATTTAAAGTTCATGTTATATTTTGTATATATATGCATATATAAACATGATTAACATGTTCATTATAATCAATATTACCATCATCATTATTGCCATTATCCTTTAACCTTCCTCTTTTTTACCTTTTAACCTTCCTCTTTTTATGCTTTAACCTTCCTCTTTTTATGCTGCTTCTCTAATGATCAAACCAGCTATCATCTCTATTAAACCAAAAGTTATTCTTGTTTGTCTTCTTATTCAACTAGTTGCATCCTTTTACTGTATCTGTCCCTTCATGTTATTTTTAATCCAGTTTTTTTCCATGCACATCAAAAAAATCTTATAACTCTAACCCATCTTCATGTTTTCCTTTTTTATACAACCTACAACTTTTTAAGTCTTCAGTTAACTGTTTCCAAACTATTCTCTATTTTAAAAGTAAATTATAACTTAATAGTGGTTGCTCACAACCTTGTTCGAAGTAAATTAGAGTTTAAAATTATATAAACATAGGCTAATATTTTAATAAATAGTAAATGTAAATTATAAATTTTTTTTTAGCTTTGGCTATCAATCCGCGCTAGATCTTATTAATTTTACCGATACCAAAAACCAGGTTTAAAAAAACTCTTATTTTCAGTTAGGGTTGCGACCAAAGTCACTTCCTAGTAATAAGTGTCTCAGATATTTAAGACAAATGTCTTAATTTTAGACATTTTTCTTTTTACACTCTAGTTATATAGTTATAATAAAAAATATTCAGGAGGAAATAAATTTAAAAAGGAACAATTGTAATTCGTCATGAATTTTGCAATTTGTCTTGCAAAATCATGCAAAACTATTTAAAGTCCCTCATTTCCTAACTTAGTTTAATTTATGCCAATATTCAACTTTTAAAACAATCATTGCTGATAACAACATCAGTTTATTGATACTAAGCAGTCTAGTCTGTTTTTAGTTGCGCTTTACATAATTGAACTAGTACTTCTGACAATATTGCAGAATGTAGCAGTGATGTAGGTCTCCAGAATAATGTCTTGGTCTCGAGATGTCTTGAGACTCATATGCAACTGTCTTGATCTCATTCTTGGTCTTAAAACTTGAAGTCTTGGCCTTGAAAACCTGATATATTGGTCTTGGTCTCAGACCTTTACTGTCTTGTACTTTCTATCCTTAAAAAATATCATCACAATGGGTAATAGATAAAAAATCATTGATCTCTGTAACTTTCTGCTTTCATGAATATTTTTATCGAGAATATGGGTCGGCAACATGTTTTAATTAAAGAGCCATTTTTCCCAATAAAGTTTTGAACTGTGAGCCACAATGATGCTAGTTTAAAAAACTGTAGATTAGTATAAACATATATATATATATATATATATATATATATATATATATATATATATATATATATATATATATATATATATATATATATATATATATATATATTATATATATATATATATATTTGGATCACTATTTAGTTTTAATGATGTTTATGTTGCTAAATATCTGCTCGCAATAATATGTAGATCTGTAAACTGTCAAAAGTTCAAATGCCACCAGCTTTAGTTGGGTGTCACTTTTAGGAAAACTGTTTTATGTTTCAAATATGATTTGATTTTCACTTTGAGAATTTGAAAGCTTTTTTCATTTATGATCTACTTCAAATTTTTTTATTTCATTGATGTTTGCAAAGTTGGAAATTTTTAGATCAAACTTTTTTTGATTTCAATTCTAATAACTTTTCAATTTGCGTTCTTCCAACGTTTTGGAACAATTTAAAATTTATTTTTTTTGTATTTATAGTGTAGATGAATAATCTTGATGCTTTTTTAAATTGAAGAAATGAATTTATTATAATAATATTATAAATATTACTTGGATAATAATATAATAAATATACTTGGATAATAATATAATAAATAACTTTTAAAAATAATAATAATCTTAGAATGCTCTCACTAGTTAAAACAAGGCAATGTGGTGACATAATTCAATTGTTTAAAATTTTTAAAGGTTGCGATAAAGTTGAATTTAAAGAAAAAGTCCTTCAAATCTAATTGTACTTGTGGCCATAACCTAAAGTATTCTAAATAATTTTCTGTACATAATTATAGAGAAAATATTTTACTAAATTGAGCTGCAAATTATTGGAATGCACTGCCGGAAAATGTTGTTAAAGCTAATTCAGTCACCTCATTTAAAGCAAGACTTGATCGATGGGAGTTAAACCATCACAAGACTCAGTTGTCATAGTGTGCTTTAAAACCACACTCACTGGTAGCAATACCAGTCACATAAATAAATACTAATACTAATGCTAATATTATAAATATACTTGGATAATAATACAATACATAACTTTTAAAAATAATAAATAACTATTACAACAATAATAATTGATAGCTTTTAAAATAAATAATAAACTTTTATAAATATAATGATATATATATATATATATATATATATATATATATATATATATATATATATATATATATATATATATATATATATATATATATAAATTCTTTATTTCATACCTTTTTTAAAAGGAACAAAAATTCTTTATTTCATACCTTTTTTAAAAGGAACAAAAAGCCTTTTTTTTTTATTAATCATATGCTATGCAACATCTGTAGTGGTAGTATGATATTATTTTATTTGCATCAATTTAATTTTTTGTAAAAAATTTTAATATTGAGAAATTAATGTCTTCTTCAAGGGTTTCTTCAATTTTATGATTGATTTCTATTTCTAACAATACAGTTTTTACACTGATTGTATTTTATGTTTGAGCATTTATTTTGATATATTATAGCTCTTTGATATAATGCATTATATCTAATTATCTGTTTTTAAGCACAATTATTGTTGCATGCACACTTTATTCATGGTTATAGGAAAAATCCCCTCTTAAGAAAATCCCATGTAAAAAAAAGTTTTTTTATAGAAATATTTTCTTGAGACTGCCCAAACCGAAACCCTCAGTCAATGTAGCCGCACTCCTTGCATGTTCTTCTTATTTGTCAGTCTATTCATGTACACTCCTTGTATATTTTTCCAATATGTCAGTCGATAAATGTACACTCCTTGCATGTTCTATCTATTTGTCAGTCGATTTATGAAAAATAAGGGATTGAAGTTTTGTTTGTAACATAATATGTATATATAAAATATTTA